TCAAAATCTCTGGCAATTCTTCTGATTATGTTGAGGCAGTGTGAATGGTATCCTGAAGCAGCATGGAAGATTTCACAAATTTATACATGGCCGAACATAAACACAACCTCTAACCCACAACATTGAGGCAATGCATCCTTCGCAATCAGCAACGTGATTTTGCCATGCAGCCTAAATCCTCCAGAACTGCCCTGGGGACTTTGAAGGATTGAGGATCATGGTTAGGGTTAAACTCAGAGTATGCAATGAATGTATGTACATTGTATATATACACGTACATGTACTGCACGTACACCAGTATGTTTCAGCATTGAAGCTACATACTGTACAAAGTCCCAAACACCAGTCACAACCAGCAGGCACCCATCACCTCAATTCCTGCCCGTGTAGAATGGAGTGGTACCTTGGTTTTGGCAGTTTTGCAGAGAGATTTCACCAGGTTAATTTGCCTGGATTCATCCGACTGGAGCACGGTGTCCACCAGCTGCTGCTCAAACCAGCCAGCCTGGGCAGCCGACTGGCGAAGCTCCTGACGGTCATCCAGCCAGTGTCCAGTCAACACAGGGTGTACACCCAACAACACGGGCACGCACAGACACATTTGGACAGCATGCGACAGTTGCACAAATGCAGTTGGCAAGGTTTCGGTGTTAGTATGGCGGGTGTTAGATGTACGTATACAAAACAAACAAAACACAAAGTGCAAATAAAAGTTCACATTTTTGTACAAAACAATGGTACACGATTGTACGCTATAGCGTACCGAAGTGGGATATCATTTTGAACCAGGATGTTTAGTACTAATACACATGTTGGTTCATGTGCTAGTTCATGTGCTAGTTCTCATGCTAATGATTTTTACACACATAATTGTGTGCGTGACATATTCTCTTCGGTACTCTCTACTGTATGTGTAAACTTTCAGCCATACAGCCCTAAATTTGCCAAAATCAAACACACAACTCTGTTCTTTTGCTTTGTATGGGTAGTTGTTTTCTGTTTTTTTGTGGAGTGTGCAAGCTCAGCCACTAGTTCACAAGGAACTTGATAGCGAAATTGTTTATTCCAAGAATTTGAAATTGGCTCTAAGGCACAAGTATGGTATTTTAAGATGCAAGTACCCAGAAAGCTTCCTCAAAAGATTGTTTGAGAAGTTCGACATTGGTTTAGGAGTCCCTAAGAAAAATCCAATCATATTCCTTGAAAGTTTTCAGAAGAACACAGCACACGTGTCAGTGAAATGCTTCAACCGTTTCTTAAACATGCACCTACATGTACGTATAAAATACTGAGTTGCGCAGTGTTAAGGTGTCAGGAAAGAGTATACTCGGTACATACATATTCTTCACTCCAAATACATCAACCAATACTGTGCACTTGTTAAACCAGCATTAAAAAAAATCAGAGCCTGTATTAGTTCACACATGCAGGTCTTGTTTACTGAAAATAAACACCTGTGGGACTTACGTCAGCCAATCTGCTCCTCTCCCGGTCCCGCTGGTCCAGCATTGTCTCCAGCTGCAGGATGCGGGACTCCGCCTCCACGACCTTCGACCGCAGCCGGTCTGCCTCTTCCCGCTCGGCCTCGGCCAGGTGCTTGGCCGGTAACCCTTTGCTCTGAAGCATCTCTAGCAGCTTCTTGATGCTCTCGTCCCGGGCGGCCAGCGTCTGCTTCTGCGTCTCGCTGCGGATCTCCATCTCCTCCAGTGTCTTGCGCAGGAGGAACACCTCTTTGGCCAGCCGCTCCCGCTCCGCCCGCAGTGCCTCGGCCTCGTGGCGGGGGGCCAGGTGGGCGCCGGCGCTGGCCGCGTGGCTGGAGAGCGAGGCCTGCATCTGGGCGTTGAACTCCCGCTGGTGCTGGAGCTCATCCTGCATTTGCTTCAGGTCCTGACAGTAGTTCTTTGGGTTGGGAGGAAGGGAGAAGAGAAGAAAGTTATCAGTCTCGGGGGATCAACTTTCATTCAGAAATATTGTCTCCATGAAGCACAAGGGGCAAAGGTTTCTAAAGAGTTCCTCTGCATCTACTCCAGGACCGGGCAAGAGTTCTTGGGGGAAGAGTTCTTGAATGGAAGAGTATGATCAGTCTTGGGAATCAACTTTTGCTCAGGAACACTGTCTGCCGGAAGCACTTTCCAAAGGGTGAAAGGTTTGTAAAAACATTGCTAGAATTCTTCTTGCAAATGTTTCAGCCCCTGGCTGCAGTACTTATGGGGTGGGAGAAGGGAAATGGAACAATATTAGCAGTCACTGAGATCATCTTTCTTCAGGAAATTTGTCTGCAGGGAGCACTGTTCAGAGGAAAATGGTTTGCACTGACGATGCTGGCAGAGTTTTTCCTGCATTTGAAACAGATCTTGGCCTGAGTTCTTTGGAAAGTGGGAGCTTTGTTTTAGTCTGAATCAGCTTTATCCTGAAAGCCATATTCAAGAAGCATTGTTCAAAGGAGGCCAATGTTTGTTGAGACACATTGAAAAGGAATTAATCTAATGACCCCTGATATTGCTAAAAGGAAAAGTGTTAAGAACCACATGTTCGTGATTTCGTAGTACAGCATAACCATCACGTGATGAACTTTTTTTGTACACTGAGTGACTGAGGAAGCAAATACAAGGTGACACTAATACATGTATGGACTTCAACGAAGTGTACCCATATGTGGAAGAACTACTGGTAGATGGGGGAGGGAAGTAAATAAACATGCAAACTGCCACATCTTCCTCCATGTTTTGTTCCATTTCTGTACATTCTCAGTCTTTTTTGTTCAATCTAGTGTTGTCATAATTTAGATACAGAAGTGCCTAAAACCAACAAAGTTTTCTCTGAACCTAAAAAGAACCATTACAGCGCTTATTTATGAGCAAAAAAATTCCTAGAACACTCTTATTCATTCATTCATTTCGGTTTTATTGTCACAATTATGAATATCTTATTGGTCTTTTTATATGATTGAAGTGAAATGAAACAAGAATAAATGTAAATGTATAATAAGATAACAGTACTGAGACGAGATTCGGTAACCAGGAGAACCCGGTACCCGTGGTCAAAGCTGGAATATTACAATAATTGGCCCAGTAACAAAACACTGCATTGGATTGTTTTCAACCTCCATATCCCCTGCCACCTCAGACGATTTCAAACTGTCAACAGTCACCCGGGAAAAATTGGGGCAGTTGGCCAAATTATAGAGAGAGCACACAGCTAGCAGACCGCAGACAAAATGGCACATATACCATGATTCACACCTCAACCTTGCGCTGTGGGCCCCTCCCTCCCCCCCCTTCACATCTCTTTCCATACCTAGCCCTATTTGTCGTCACAAAGGTTATTTTCAGAGAGAGAATTCTATCTGTGCACAGGCTACACCACGTTGCAGGGGGGCCTCTCGTGAAGCAAGACCGGAGAAACCTGACACTTGTGAATATCAGCCGTTTCAATTCAGTGGGTATAGTTATTAGATCAATAACGATGGCTTGCCCCAGGAATCATCCTGCAGGAATCAGAGGGCACAGGAGCTCTCCTCAACTTCTTCTGCCCTCTGCAAATATCCATCTAGGGGACAAAGACCTTTTTTTTTGGTGACTTAGGACAGTAAAGCTGAGGAAAGATCTGTCATAGGCAACAGCAAATTTACTACATATACCTTGCACTGGAATATAATATATTTTCTCCATACATGTATCAAAGAAGTCTACTGGTGCAGATGCAGTTACAAGTACATGTACACTGTACAAAGAAAAGTGCTACACAAGTCATCATTTTGTAAGATTTGAAGCTTTGCATGGTGGAGGAGACATGAGAAATGGGTTTGCGGGTACACCATGGAATCAATCTCTTTTGGGCAAGGTGTGGTTCTTAAAAGAACCGGTGAGTGTTAACTCAACGTTTCGGCCAGTGTGCTCTGGCCGTCCTCAGGACTAGAACCACACCTCGTTCATCAAGTTGTGTTATTTTACTTCATATTCACTTTCTCCCAACACATTACACTCACACCCTACACGAGCAAGTATATGTACCAGTATGTATGGGCATAGACGTTGGTTTCCTTCCTCCATGGTACAGATCTATACATGTACATGTATGGTAACTTTAGTACTTGCAACTTACTGTCCAACAAAGTAAAGGCCTATATGTACATTCCGTACACAATGGATGTTTGCTCATAAAAATACGACACATGTACACCTGTCCCTGTGCAGTGTACCGATATGTGATACAAGTACAGATAAAAGGTTTTGACAAAGCCTGTACTAGTACAGTAAATGTACATATATTGCTATTTGCTCAGGTGCATTTACCGGTACATGTACGTGGTACAGGTGAATCTTGCATGCACTGTAGGTGTCTGCACGTACTGTCCGGACTTGTACAATCACAATGCACGATGCAATGTACATGTATTCTGAGCATGTACATGTAAATACAAAAGAGGGAAAATCTTATACCCCTCCACATGTACATTCATGACACGTACCAACATAACGTATGGGTACTTGAATGTTTCAATTAATTACCTAGAACTCCCGAGGCAATTTTGGCTTGGTGCATATCATGTGCATGTACCTTCCGGAATATTCCACAAATCCTCTACCGGGCAACAAACTAATGGCACATTTCTTGTGTACACTCCAATTTGAAAGGGGTATTGAGACCCTTCAAACTAACCAACCAATACACGTACCTTCCTTAATCTGACAAAATCCTCCAAACCTGGGCTAAATTTCAAAGACCTGCTTTTATAACAGTCAACAAAAAAGTCTTTCTTCCTATAGCAGAGAAATTTTCTAACCTTTTAAAATGCACTATTACATGGCGGTGCTTGACCTGGTTGTGCCTATAGTTGTAAGGGCGCATCAAGATTAAGCAAATTTTTCCTCAAAGGTAGGCACGCCTTTTGCGGTGCTAAAAACTTACTGTCTGCAAGAAATGCAAGGAGCCTCTAAATCCTGTAATGTAGCTAAGCAGCGCCGTGAAATTTGGTCCTGGTCCTGGTAGATTATCAAGGATCTTTGAGAGATTTGTCGCAGGTTTTCACATTTCTATGTCAAACCTTATAAAAACTTGACCACAAAAGTTGCATAACCGCATTTTCAAAGTGCGAGTTTTACAGTTTACTGCACACAATAGGCTCCAACTCCTTTCCTTGGGTTCAACCTGAGATGTTTATTGAGAAACAAATCAGTTCCCGTGCTTTTTTGGATGTGGCAAGTTCTCTTCCGGCACGAAAATGTCTTCTTTTCAAGACAGGGGACAAAAGCTACCTAACACTGAACATATGTACGAGTACGAGCACTGGCCGCTGATAATAACCTCCATCAATTCTGCTTCTCTTAGTCATTTCTTGCCAGGCGCACAGCGGCACGAGCTGATGTACATTTCATGTACTTTGATTTGTGTTTGTGCCAGAATGAATCAGCGGGAAAGTGCCTTTCAATTTGAACACATCAAGCTTCATCTGCGGTGAACTCGCTTGATGATGCCATTTTCCTGTCTGTATCCTCACACAGCGCCCGCAGCTTTGTCAAATAGTCTTTTTCCTTTACTTTGATTTACCTGTCAAGTGTTCGCTCGGGTGTTGAACCTGAATAGTTTGCACTGACGTCACACGTTTTCCGCAAGTTTTCCAATCTACCAGTTTCTGACTTCAGGCTGAGTTTACGAAAAAGACATTTTTGGCTATGCCCACACAACATCCATGACATGCATACATGTACACGCGTGCCTACTGGTACTTTAAGCATAGCCTGATACAAAAATGGATGATAAGCGAGTGTGACAAATGTAACTTCGAGTGCCAATGATATACTTGAACATGGTGAGTATTTCTGCAAAGATTAAGGCTGCATCCGAATCTCTTGTCTAGAGCTAGGTCTAGGTCTTCGGTCCATTGGAATTGCGTGGAGACGCGCAGACAATAGACCTAGCCGTATCTCTGGAAGCCCATTTCGGACACGGCTTAAGGCTCTTTCCGAAATGCTTAACTGCAGCTGGCATTAACGCTGTAGGCATTTATGGAAACGTACCTCTGTCATCTCAATCCACTCCGAGCTGGAACAAAAGAGGGCATGTTTTGAAATGAAATTGGCAGTCCTTTGGTACGTACTCACCGCATAGGCGTGCAAGTTTATGCACATTTGACACAGAGCATGTTGAGCACGCGCAACGAATTTAGTCTGGTATGTATGGTCTTCGCATGCACACTGAACGCGTGCAAGAACCCAGTTGGAAAACTTAGTATCATCTGTCTTGCTTTCGCCACTGAGGGTGCACTTCAGCTCCGGGCGGATAGGCTTATAATATGACTGCTCATTGTTGTCAAGTACATGTTAGTCACTTGGCTTGGAGCCAAAGCTTCTATACAGTGTAAGGCTAATGATATGATTTTCTACAGCATACAAATCCATGTACATTTGACATTCAATTGAAACAAGACAAATATCAAAATGTCTTTGGTCCCAATAACATCCATGTTTCAACACATGTGCTAGTACATCTGCCGGTATGTTCGTCATACTGCAGTGAATGGATTCAGATTTGTTATTGGTCGAAACTTGATCACGTGATATGGCAAAAACATGCATGTGCTAGATCGCAAAAACATGAGCAATGTTTGCCGTGGTACTAGTACATGAATGAAGCACCCAACAGGTACATTACCTTGATCTTTCCCAGGGTTAAAAGTGTTCTTTCTGCTGTGTGGTATTGGCGTGACAGAGGTCGCAATATGATATTCTTCATGACAGGTATCATGAACTTACGTGTGCATGCACAATTGGTGCAATAACCACACCTGTTACTGCACAAAAAATGTACATGGTCACGCTTTCTTTGCACATTATGCATAAATATTCACATGGTGTAAACAGGTTTTGACATTTTGGTCTACAAGTCCAATTCTCTACAACTGGTGAGACTGATTTGTTCTTAACCTTCAAAGAGCAGAACAATCGTATTTCACACGCTTAGTGGAGTTAGGTTTTTCATGTTCATACATGTCCGGACATGCGCAAATTTTTTTTTTCACAATTTGCTGACTGTAGGTGTTAACAAATTCACACTTACTATTTGAAATCATCTGACGTTTTGTGACATTTAGTCACGGTTCAAGTAACGTGATTTTTATGTCTTGATACCATCGGACAGGCGATACATGCACATCTATGCATCAAAACTGACAGTACTCTCTTCATATTTGAAAGCATTCTCTATGATAACACTATCGAATGGACAAATCATCTTCAGGCGTCTCACATTCTGTGGATGTGTGAAGCATTCATCTGGAAAATGTTACTGCAAATGGTTGCTGCATGTACATGTACATGTACCAAGAATGGCACCAAAAAATGTGAATGGTTGCTGAGCCAAAGAGAATGTCAGCCCTCTGTGTAGATAAAAATTACCAAGTACAATGCAATGCACAAAGTGATACATGTACATGTGCTAGTGTAATCCGCCCGACACAGCGCATACCTCATGTCTGTTTATTGATTTGGACTGTCAGTTCACCCCGTGCAGTCTTCACATCTTGTCTTTCAGTTGCACTGTGAGTGGCACGGTGAGTGCTTGGCTCGTGGGGGAGGAGGAGAGGGAGAGCGATGGGACATCTCAGCCCCTGTCTGCATCTTAGCATTTGCCGTGATGCGATCCCACATTAATTCATGAGACTATGCACAAGTTCAAGACCCTCCTGTATGAACGCGCGTTGATCATTCACCGACGTTTTAACCCGGTGTCCCCCCCATTTGTTATTTGGTGCATTGTGCAGGTGTTGGACATGTTGTGGTTTCTCACACTGTGATAGGCAGGGACAATGAAATGAATGCCCTGTACTGGTACATTCAAGGTAAACATTGTTTGTGCACAGCAAACAAAGCAGGGTCGTGATTTCATTATTGCTGCACATGTATGGAGAAGCTGACAGAATATAAACACAACTGTCGGTAGGCCTATCATTACAGACTGCATTCATGTACATGTACATACATGTATATACATGTACACCTGAGCTTTGAAGCTTTTCATGGTGAAGGTACATGTAGCATGTTAGTTGTGGTGCAAGGTGCATGGTGCTACCACAAACATCTATAAATTACACGTACAATTGTTTTTAAACAGATTCCTTTTTGAACACAATGTCCACTAAGAATCGTAGAATGCCTGGCGACACATGCTACAGCTGAACTCGCCATTTTCACTTAATGTGGCCCCACAGATAATGAAAATAATTAATTCATGACAGACTTGTAAACAGCTATCTGTGTGTGACCTAAACGACAGTTCAAGGGCAGACATGGCTACATCTACACAATGGGATGCGCACGCGACTGCCCATCGCCATGTGCACACAGTCAATATCCCAGCTGCCATCGCGCCTCGACGCCTACGTTATATTCCTTGACGCAATGCTAATCCGGCCAGATGGGGCCAATATCAAAGTGCCGTTTCCTGAATTACAAATTGAGTCGACTCAAGCCAGCTGGTGACGGTCCATTGGCTCTGCGTGTCCAAGATAACAAGATCCAGATTTTGACATTTAAACATTTCAATCCTGGATAAAGGTGGATTGTACTGCCTAATGTACAACTATCCTCTCTTTACTAAATTGTCCAAAGCATGGACAACAGATGCCCACACAATCAGGGTTGCCCCCGAGAGAAATGTATCTCTTTATACCTGGACAAAATTTGAAAAAGCTCGCAGTCCATTAACATGTCATTAGCTCCAGAAAAAGCAGAATGATTCTGACAAGATCCTAGAGGTGTTAGCTCGACGTGTTGGTTCGCAAGCTCAAAAGTAATTGGGTGTTGCACTGCCGAAGAATTGAGGGTCCCTTTAACAGTCGTCACCAAGCAAATGGGTCTACGGTCGCCATCACATGATGCACTGACAGGACACATACTGCTAAATTCATCACAGGTCTATTGATTGTTCCACGACCAGACAATCGTCTGCTATTATTAGCCCTGTTTCCTGTTCTACACCTTGCTCCATCAATGAGTCTGCTGCCTCATTAGTACACATAATACGCCAGCAAGGTTAGGCAAGGTTATGAACCATCAAGCCTTTGAAGTGTTTTCGTCTCTCAGTTTTCGGATCCCAAAAACAGTGAAAATATCAGAAAATATTTTTGATGATTAAGAATTCTGAGTCACACTAATGGAAGTACATGTATCCCCACCCTCGGAGGGTTCTTAAAGATTGAGAAGCCAACTTATTTTTTATGGAACCTGATGGCCCAGAGAGCTTGAAGTCCAATGAAAGCATCTCTGTTTCCTGCATGATCGCATTTTGTTAAAATTAACCCTAACCCCCTCAGGTGTAAGCAAAATCATGTTGAAATTGCAAGATTCAGGACTGTTCAGGTTAAGGATGTTTCGAAAATGTCTTTTTTTTTCTGTGGGGCTAAAACAATACTCACTTGAAAGCATTATGTTCTACCTTTTCCCTTATTTTGCTAACTACCTGCCGAGTGTAAATTTAAGGATAGTATTGAATTGAAAACTTGGGAATCAGGTTGCCCACAATAACCGAGTCTCTAACCCAAACTTCAAAGAAAACAGAAGAAAGCGTGTACCCACTAACTGTTTATCAAAATGTATTCACACTGCCAATTCTGTCTCACCAGGTCATTAGCATCCAGTCCAATAATTTAAGATAAACTGTCGGGTACAGGGGGTGAGGGTCCAGCCGATGTGTGGTTTAACAGTTAATTATACATGTGTATGTAGCTACCCAAGTGTGAAGCCTGTTGGTTCTAATGGAATAGCCCAAGTTGACTTAAACAGCCTACCAATGAATTTGAGTTTCTGCCTGTGTTTCAGTGAGGCAGTAACATAAAGTCTTTCTTGCATGTATGCTAATTTAAATAAATGCATGGGCATCTCCAGGCCACTTTGGGCTGGCACTGAAACCCACAAAGTTACTGATGAACAAAACTGGGGGAAAAAAAACATGACTAGAACACATTTCCTTGTAACTTGCTACCTGCCAAAGATTGAAAACAGTGGGGCTGGACTTAACACCGAGTACATAAATGATAGAGGAACAGGCAAATTTAGTAATATCCCTTGCTGCCCCTACTTTGCCCCCCTCTATAAACAAAATCTTGGTGACACTCATACTGGGGGTCATGGTTCAAAGTGGACAGAATTGGTAATCATCCGTAGGTGATGTTCTTCAGAGCAACCCCTTCCGAATGAAGTTACACAATGTTGCTGGCAACAAATTTAGAAGTGGAGAGGGATCACACTTCTTACATCTCTCTCTTTTTGAGCAACGCCCATTTTTTAAGGTACCAACCTGGTTTTCCTCCATGGCAGTCCGACACTGCTCCCTCAGTGCCTGCATGCGGGCGGCCTCCTCCTTCCGCAACGCCCGCTCCTTCTTCAGCTCGGGGCTCCAGAAGGTCTTGATGCTGTTCATGGAGGAGGCCAGCTTGGCCTCCTTGGCCTCCAGCTCCTGCCGGAGGCTGGCATTCTCCAACTGGTACTCCCGTAGCTGGGCATGCACGTCCAGCAGGACTGCCTCCTGGGGCGGCCGCATGTCTTCTGGGTGGTGGGGGTGCGGGTGGGTGTGGGAGTGGGGTTGGGGGCCCGAGTTGGAGTTGTTGAGGGACAGCTGGTCGGGCGGGTGAGGGTGGGGTTCGGCACCATCCGAGCCCGTGAGTGGGGAACCGTGGAGACCCTGGCTGGATCCTAAACTACTGGAGCGGCTGTCATGGCTGTGATTTGGGCAGAAGGGAGAACATGACAACAATATCAATACAGAATGATTGCTCTCAAAGACAGCAATACAGAATGATTGCTCTCAAAGACGGCAATACAGAATGATTGCTCTCAAAGACAGCAATAGATAAAGTGCGGAGCGTTGTTATAGTCAATTCAGTTTTATTTGTTATTACATAGACTTTTGAGATAGCAACACCTGTTATCAAACTGCAAACACAAAAAATACTTTTGCATTTTCTAACACTGCATTCATATTCGTGTTGCAGACAACATGTAACCAGGAGCAAATAACCACTTGTATACATTTTCTGTTTCACTCTACAAACGGAATTTTCAACTTTGCAAACATCTATTATGTGCTAGTGATGTTACAAATATTAGAGGTTCTGTATTTTTTACATGGAGACTAACTTGATTACATCCTTGGAAGGCATTTCTCCCTTTTTATGACATGAGAGACGGGAGATACATGAACCTATTACACATATGCAGTGTTGCCCATAAACAGCTAGGTATATAACTAAAAAATACCTTTCTCAAATCTCCACTTTGTTATCCATTCAGTACATTTGATCATAATCAGTTTCCGGTTTACACACTGATCCATGAGTTGCTTCAGTTTTCAAAACTCAAAGGATATGCAGTGTTGAGAAAATCTCACAGTTGACTACAAAATAAGTATTATATGGGATAAATTTGTAGCAATTTGTAAATTTAACATTTGAAATTTGTTTAGTCCCAAATATTACTTTCAGGTTCTGCTTATTTCCCTGAAATGATAGCAACGACTGGTCATTACTACGGTTACTTGAGCCGTCAAAAAGTGGCATCAGGATACTGCATCACAAATTCATTGTGTAAGTTTTGACAATATGAACAAAGAATAGCACACAAAATAATTTGCAGGCTACAACTGTAATCTCACAATGAACAAGGTAGCCAAATTAATTCACATCACATCACCTTCACTTTATTTTTCACATGATGCATATATTGTGAAAACAATAGTCTGTACGGATGGAGACCCCTACAAAGCATTGCTTGTTGAGTAGAGGTCCACAGTTATAATACATTGTGTTAGATATAACAAAATATGAATAATCTTATGTTACTGTAGACCCTCACACTAGCCTAGTACTACAGTACGAGTAGTAGGGGGCCCACAATCTTTTCCATGATTGCAGGTGGCACTTTTCATGAAAAACAAAAGCTTCAGACAATTTCATTGCTATGTGGTGTGACTCAAGCCTCCTATCCAAGAGTGATATCAAGCTGTCGACATGGCATGCCATAATGTAGCCATCTTGGGTATATTACTATTACCCACACAGTACGCACACTGCATACCGTACCTTGGAGTTGGAGAGTTTCGCGGTGACAGTGAGTTGGACTTGCCACTCGCCCCGCTGGACACAGGCGACGATCGGCCCTGCACTGGGCTCCCGACCCCGTCCCCCATGTAAATAGGTCCGGCATTATAGGCAGCATTCAACGACTGTATCGTCTCCATCGGCAGGGAGGTTGTGCTGACGTCCGGTCTCGAGGAACGCAGGCGAGCTGCTGATGATGACCGCGACGGTGAACGGGTCCCCGAGGCGGCCGATCCCGAGGCAGAACTGCTCCGGCTGGAACTGCCGTCTCGCTCTGCTGCGGCACCGGTACTGGTCCCACCGTGGTCGTGCGGCAGCGGTGAATGGCGCGGGCTGTACATTGTCAAAGGCCTCGCGAGTGCCTTCTAGCACACTCCACACATAGAGGGGGGTCACCAAAGTTGGCTTATTCACGGTCGAGTAGTCATTTTTGCGGGTAACTTGCGGTGTTGACAGACAAGCAGCGCTCAGTACACCTTGCACACCCAACAAATCCAAAATGGCCGGCTGAGATGATGCATGTCCAACACTAGCATGATGAGGATGCAGCGACCTCATCCTAACGGCGCCCACTGAATTATGCAAAATAATGATGAGACCACACGTACACATGGATACCTCATCCTCCGGAATCATGTTGTCATCCGTTAACCCGTCAGCTGAGATAAACCATGGAAGAATGAAAACAAAAGCCCCGCCGCAATTTTTACTCAGAAAGTTGTTTTCATCTTTATTTTTTGTGAAATCTTGACGTAAATTAAAGGCTACGTTGTGTGATTGCGGCATTTATCCATTTTTGATTATTTGGTTATTTTCATAGAAATGTTTTTCCTGGTCAATAGTGTGTCTGGGACACGCCCATTCTGGTATCCGGCACAAATTTCCGAGTCGAGACCAGCACCTTCTTGTCGATCTCTTTCTACTGCCTTGCCCCCTCCCCCTGTAATTTTTGGGGAAAACTACAAGGGCTACATCTTTGAGAAAATAAAAATCATCCTGTGTACGGAATGTTTTTGTTTTGGTCTTAAAACGGAAACATTTGTAAAAGGCACATTTATGGTATGGATTTGTCACACTGTGTCCCTGATTGGTGTTCTTTGTGTCCATCATTTCTGATAAATTCCGAGTCCCACTCTGATATGCACGATACATCATGGAGTGCAGAGTGCACCCGATTGTATTCTGAGCTCTGCTGAGTAATAAGTAGAGTGATAAAGAAAGGCTAAAACTTGTTTTTCTTTAATTTAATATTGCCGAAACAAGAAGGAAATGAATGCTTCCTGATTATCTGTTGGGAATGAAACCTGATTGAGGAGGAAAAGCCTTTGGCGAACTTTTTGGGATGGGAAGATCCCGTTTTTTATGAGCGTAATTTAAGAATTCTTTACCCGTAAATTGTCCTTTGTTTCGTCTTGAGAATCAGCATGGGGTTACAATGACCAAAAAAGGTACTGGTATAATTTGCTGCAAAACATTGTGCTGAGTACCTGATGCTAATTTTAGCATTAGCAACAATTTATTGATGAACACACAGGAAAATTCCCCGCTACCTGAGCTTTAATGTTTTGTTAGAGCGACCTCTATTGTTAAGGGGCATCCAGCTTGACCTCTGTCCGTTTGTTTCCTCTGACTATTTTGGCGTCGCCTTCAACTTACTGTAGTTAAATATGATTTTTAATCTTCGATTTTCGCGAAATGTAATTTCCATGTTCTGTTTGTGGTTGGACCCGTGAATGTGACGTTTCCCAGTCGCTAAACCATGACAGCGACTCACAATCAGAGTGACCGAAGTACTTCTTTTGGACAGGTTGTAGCCGCTAGCCCGGGCCTACTTGTTTGGATTAGGACTGATTAATAAAAAATATGATGATCATGATGATTAAGCTTTTCAAGGACTGTTTCATGTTTGTACAAGCAATCACATGGCTTACTCAGGCTCTCAGCCTAGCCGACGTTGAGCATTATATGTGATCATTACAAATCTTACTTAGCCTAGGCCTACCTTGACTTTGTCACTTTTACTCATTTTTCTAACTTCTCAAAGCTTGTGAATCGGTCTGTGAATTGGCCAGTTTTTACATTGTTTATTGGCACTGTTTGTTGGATGTTGGATGGAACTAATCATTTTTGCATTGTGGAGGACAAACATGACAGAGAAATCCCTGAGCTAGTGTGGGTTTGTATTCTGCTTTTCTGGAGAGGCAGAACAATTAGGCCTAGCTCTACTACTAAGTCATCACTAAGTGGAGTGTTAGTATTCTTTTTTTTTGATTTTGAACGGGATCGTTGTGACGCTCCATTCAGTAGAGCTACAGAACAATGAACCCCATGAGAAAAAGTAACACCGTTTTAGGCAATTGATAAATGGCAAGTTCTCAAAGCCATAGGGCGTCAGGTTAGGCATGATAGGCACGTGATGCTTGGAATATCCTAGCCCCAGACTAGGGTCAATCTACTGGCACTATTTTGGCCCTAGTTTGAGGCTAGGAGCATCCCAGAGAAGCATAAGGTTCATCGTGCAGTCGCTCCACCTCTCTGACCTCTCTGAAATGGAGAGGCAGAGCACCTGATTAACCCCATATAGGCCTAGTACTTCGAGGCTGGAAATAGGGATCAGTAAGTGATGGGATCAGAGTCAAAAATTTATGACACTGATTTGCTTCAGTGTGTTTTGTCTGGACCAATATTAAACTCAAAGTGTTTGATGTGGCAGCTAGTAATTTCATCTCAGAGGTAGGTCCAGAGTTCCTTTGCAATCAGCCATTGAAGATCATGAGTTTCTTGTTGCATACCAGGCTGAATTTAGTCAAGAAGAGCATGCAGCCATACAAGCCGCCCTGAGACAGAAGTTGGGGCCAGAGTTCATCAGTCAGAGGTCAGGGGCTGGTGGCCAGAAGGTACTTATTGTTTTGCCTCTACACTTTAGCATTTACACATTTTAACTGAAATATCTTGTCCTGGCAGATGCTCTCGAGGTGCCTCATAAGGTCCACACCGTAGACCTATCCATTTTTATTACTTTCCATACTTCATAATTTTTTATACTTTTTTCCTTTTGTTTGATCACAAGAACTTAAAAAGAGATCTTTTTTTTTTATTCCCTGTCCCTTTTTGCCAGCTTGCCTACATCGAAGGATGGCGCCTGATTTCACTGGCCAACGAGATGTTTGGGTTCAACGGTTGGTCGCATTCTGTCACACATCAGAACATCGGTATGGCAGTCATCTCCCTGCTGAAACCTGGGATAGGTTTTCACACCGCGAAATATGAGGCAGAAAACTCAGTGGGGATTCAGGTTTCAAGTCCTCTGAGATCAGTCTTAACCTTTCCTGTTAAAGCAGGGTTCTACTTTGTACACACGTACATGTACTTGTCAAGTGGCTCAGCCTGTGCTGTCACCTTTTTTCTCAGTTTTACAACGTACAACGTAATTATTATCAGTATTGTATAGGTGTTTACTCATACATTAATCACTTTCTTGACAATGATTTGTTGCTGTAACAGTTTCAAGAGCCAACAGGCTTACAAAGAAAAAGTATAGCATTGTTGATAGAAGAAAACTGCAGTTTTCCTAAAATCATCGGCTCCTTGACCCACTTCACACGTTTTTCCTTTCTTAAAGTGGCAGTTTATTCATTCTTGTTCTCAACAGACTTTGTGGACCAGGCGGGATCCAAGTACTTTGTCGGTGTCAGTGCCTTCGTCAAGGTCCAGCTCAAGGTAAATTAATGAAATTTGTGTTGCCCGGGAAGTTTGTTACTGTTTTGGTTCCTGTGTACCCCTTTCAAAGGCAGATTTTGAAGAGGAAAGAAGCTTTAACTTTTAACTGTCCACGTTTTATTTCTTCGTCATTTTGATACATATGTGCAGACACTGTTGTAACATTGCATTTGTTTTAGATGCTATTTTTCTCAATCAGATCAAGTGAAAAGATTTCTGTTTTGAATAGCAGACTTTGTTGAGACTGAAATTAGGTCATAAGATAGACCATCATACATTTATTGCTCATTCTGGAACTAAATCCATAGAATCGTTTGTATTGAAGAATCTGAGAAAATAATGAAATATTAGGCTGGATTGTGGTAATAATTAAGTTATCTTGATCACGATTATTAATATGCCTGAATTGTCTGCTTTGTTCCCCAACCCACCTGCCTGCATGCAGGACGGCGTATTCCATGAAGACATTGGCTATGGCGTGAGTGAGGGGATGCGGTCCAAGGCACTGTCCATTGAGAAGGCCAGGAAAGAGGCGGTGACAGACGGCCTGAAGAGGGCACTCAAGTAAGGACCATCAACCTGTTCCTCAAGCCGTGCCTGAGTGTTGCAGCTAGTGCTAGGTTTGGGTCTTTGCTAATGGTTAATACATGGACACCTGCTGATAAGGATTACAGCTCCTGCAGGTTAATTTGTGCATTCCAACTGGCTTTCTTAAATTAGTATGTCAGGTGTCCATTTAATGGGTATATGCATCAAACTCCTGCTGTGCAATTTGTGGCTATCCATCAACAGTTACTTATTGAGCAAAACCTTGGTTTGGATAAAAGATTAGTTTTTTGGGGGGGATAAATAATCGAACATTTAAAATCTTTCATGTTATTGCTATTTATGATATAATACATGAACAATAAGATTAGTTTTAACATTCCTGTGTAAAAATTCCTTGCAGGAGTTTTGGCAATGGTCTCGGAAACTGTCTCAACGATAAAAATTACCTCAGATGCATCGGAAGAGCTCCTAAACCAGTAGGTGCAATATTGATTGATTTGAGCATGCCTTTTGAAATGGATTTGTAGGCTTACCCCTCGGAATTATTTGACAATCTGGGCGGTCACAATATATCAAAGCATCGTCTTTTGTTTCGGACAAAGATAATTATTGGGTCTTACATTAGCCTGGAACTTTCTTACCTTAATTTTCCTGGTTGTTTCAAATTTCTTCTCTGTGGAGGACACTACTAGTGGAACAGGCAAAAGTTGCTGGACTTTAGCTTTTTTTAACCTGGAAAAATCTTTGGAAAGTTTTTGAAGAATTTTAAACATTTTGGAGAGTCTGGTTGAGTGATTCTTTTTGGTTTCGTCTGTGGACAGCCAGAAGAGACACTCAATGTCACCGACATGAAGAGAGGGATGGTCGACTCGAAGATCTTGGAAGCCCGCTACCAGCCCCAAACCAAACACCAAGGGTGCCCCGAGGGTCGTTGGGGCCCACAGGAGAAGCAGTGTCGGCAAACAGCCGCCAAACCGATCCTTGGTGAAACAGAACCAATCCAGGCCAGACTTCTCCCCGGTGGCACCAATGCCGCAGGCAGTGGCCCCACTGCATTTTTTGCAGTGCCTCAGGAGAGGCCCTGCCCGCCCCACACCCCTCCTCCCAAATGTGTAGCCCCTGCTGCCATGCCATCAAAGCCGCATGGACAGAATCATCCCTTCCCACCTGGCAGTCTTCATCAGGATGCCAAACCGAAACAAGAAGTACCTTCCTCTGCCTCCCATCACAGCATCCCAGCCCGGATGCCCAGTCCCAAGAATAAATTTGCCACCCCGAGTAAGCCCCAAGTTGAGATCCCAACAACCCCGGTGAACGAAGCACCGTTAACCCTCAGACAGGTCACAGTTAAGACTGAGCCTTTTCCAGCACCGGCTCCTCCCGGCACTCTGAGTGAGCAGAGAGTTGAGTCAGTCGCTCAGAAACAAATCAACCTTGTGTGTCAAACTGACAAGAAAGTTTGCGTGGAAGCAATGGACACTAATGCCGTGACAGCAGACGTTCACTGCGTTTCCCCAGAAGCAGTGATGTCTGCCGCTGTAGACGTGCCAACACCACCTGATGGGTATGTCAAAGAAATGAATTCCCTTTGCCCTGACCCTTTACACGAAGAGAGAGGGAGTGTGCATTCCGGTGTGCTTTACCTATCCCACTTTCCTGTCAGACCACTAAAGAGGCAACCTTGAAGGCCTAGACTAAGTCTGAAAGTTTCAGCTATGGCTAAGAATGACGCATGCGCCGATAGAAGCCATTTGCTAGTGGCTTGATCCACTTCCCATACACTTGTGTGTGTATCTAACAGCCGTAGCCATAACTTTTGACCTCTATCCATTGGTGTTCTTACACCATTGCCAGTGCTCAGTCGATCCACCACCGAGCCAACTCTGTAGAATCAGGCCACCTCTGAAAGTACAGGATACAGATGGTAGCCACAGATTAGTAAGTGATTGATTTTCCATGGACATACATGCTCCTGACAGCTGTGGCCAAAACATTCAAACTTAGTCTTATAGTTCATATTTCCTGTTACTGATTCCCAATACCCAGTCTGTCTAGCACAGAACCTACCCCTGAACAACAGCTGCGGCAGCGCAAGCTGCGCCAGCAGCAGAAGCAACGGGAGTTCAGGGAGCAGCTTCTCCGCAAGCAGCAACAGCAGCAGGCGGAGCAACCACACCAGGTTGCGCAGCCGCAGGAGCAGGTAGAAGGGCACAACACGGCCAGGCAGCACCCAGGAATGGCGGACCACCAGGAAGAGAATCTGGCAGTGCCAAGTGCTGAAGGTCATCAGCGGGAAGGGTGCTTAGCGCAGAAAATAATCACTTAGCAAAAAGCGGGCTACCAGCCAAACTGCAATGCACAGTATTTTGCTTGCATTTAGTTCTCCACTGCTTTTTGCTTAGCACATAAATTGGCTGAGTAGTATTTTCTGCTCAAAGCAGTTGTGAAAGTTTTGTGATCATATATCATGAAGTCAAGACAACTGATCTTAAGTCAAGTCACAAGCTATTTTAATAGACATATTTGTTATTTATTCACTGAAACTTTAGTTGATCAAACTTCTGACCTGACTGTGATTTATCATGTATCTGACTAGATTAAAACCAAGCGGATAATCTTTCCCTTGTAAAGTGTTTGAAAACAACAGGATGCCCATTTAACTTGAGCGTGCGTCATCGTTTCGCCTTTTTCCCACATAATCCATGATTCTTCTTGACCCACAATTTCCAAAAACAGTTCAGAAGACAAGCTGAAGTTAAAGATAAACACAGCTTTCGCAGCATCTTCTTCAGATGTAACTAAAGTAACCCTAGCTACCAAAGCTTATGTCTCTCATGCCCATTGCTTTCCCTTTTCAGATCCATTATTTCCCATGGCAACGTCCACTCCGCTGGACACAGTGCTACTGACCACTGCAGGCAGTGCCATGTCTTGCCCCAATGGGGCTCAGTCGCCAGCAACCGCCCAGACCCACTTCACCGAGATAGAACAAATTCTCCTTGCAGACGGTATGTTCAGTGAAGACATACCAGGTTTTATTTTGTTATAAACCAAAGGTTCCACTACATAGAACTTGCAGTACAAAGAGCTTGAAAAGATAATCAATTGAGCCTAAATATCCGGGTACTTCATGATATGCTGAGGATTTTTGCCCCAATAAAGGAAGAAAAGTGCTAGCTGCCCTTTGAAAGATGAAGTAAAAGAATTGTTTATTGATGTCATGTGCAGTTTAGGATAAGAAGGAGTTGAAGGCCAGTGTTGTGGTTTAGACCCCTGAAGACCATCACAAGACTTACACAAGACCTCCAGCCTGACTTCAAGTCACAAGCTATTCAAATGAACTGCAACAAAAGCATTCCTTTGTCATTGTTCAACCTGTTACTTGTGACTGGTCTTGTGATGGTCTTGACTACAACACGGTAAAGGGAGTTCCTGAGAATATTTTTTTTTATTTTGTGATAATAATGACCCTGTCGTAACTCAGTGTTGGCTCTATCAAACGTCCCATATTAAGTCTTGAGATTTAATGGCTTATTTTTTTTTATTGTCCATTATTGTTCAGATGACCCTGAATTCTGGATTGCCTCCCAAGTTGCTGTCCCAGAAACTGACAAGCCTCCAATGCATCCACCCCCAAACACTAGCCCCGCCCCCTCCAAGCAGCAACACCACGGTGCTGCGAAGCACAGAACCCCAAGATGCTCCCCCCACAGCCACCAACCCCGGAGGTCTCCCAGGGGAACGGCCAATCAGACCCCGAGAGGGACCTCTGCACATGACCACACCAGAAAGTTGGCCAATCAGCCGGGTAGGGTGGCCGTGCCAGCCAATAGAAGGCCGGGAGGCACGGATGGGCCTGCCGGGGGCGCATCGTGGGGCCACAGGGATGGAGGAAGAGAGAGCGGGCGACAGGGCAACGAGCATAATTCTGGTACTGGCAAACATGTCGCGCCACCATTAATGACAAATCACAAGTTGGCACAGTTGAACTGTCCTAGCCCTCTGCTTTCATGGCTGCGGTTCGAATCCCACCCAGGCCAACAGCTGTGTTGACTTCGCAGTCCCTACCTGCTTCAATGAATTTTTATAATGATATTTATCTGGCATTATCTTCAGATCTTTGAAATTAGACATTTCTTCAGTTTCTTCTGTCCAAAGTGGGAGATCCAATGAGGTTATTTGATAACGTAGAAGACAGATGAGAAAAATGCCCCCCCCCCACTCATATACATGTATGAAGTTTTTAGCTCCATTGGTCCCACCCACCCCCTTTTGTAAATGCTAGATCAACCACTGTGATTCACCTTGTACGTTCAAGTTTTCAAGTACACTGCCATGGGTATTTCTTGAGAGACCTTTGTCTCATATCAAGTCATAAATCAATAATTACGATTGCCAAATTGAATATCCATCTGTGTCATGTCTCCTGAAGAGTTTATCTCGGCTACATTCCATTATTGTACACAACTTTCTCACTGAACTAACACTTGGCATTACACAGATCTTTGATTTTTTTTTGGCTTATTTCAGTGAAAAGACGAAGGATGGAATCCCTGTAACCAGTCAGGTGATGCAAGATGGCCGAATCCCTCAACCTCTCGATCCAGCCGTTCCCTCACAAAGATTCATCTCAGTCTGCTTATTTCAAGTCCAAACATTTCTGTTGAATCTCTTCATAAATGCTGGACTAGAGGAATGTGCTTCCGCAACCGAAAATTTGACATATTTTCTCCCTTGACATAATCCAAACTGTACACTTCATGCAACACAGTTTGAATGCAGATACCTTGGTAGTACTAAGAGCAAATCAAAATGATAATTTTCCATTGGATAAAAGCCTTAATTTAAAGATTATTCAATCTTACCAATTAATGATATTAATAATAATTTTAGCAATCTGTCAAGATTAGTAACACAAAAGTTTAGAAACTGCAGCAAAAAAAATTTTTGTAGCAATATTGGTCCTAGTGCTTTTCAACTAAGTTTTGATATTGTGATTTTTTTTTCTATTCTTTGCCAATAAACTTGCAAGTGGTGCCACCACATAGTACTTTTAAGAAAAACAAATTTTAAGTCTAATTCTTGAATTTTGTTTTTGTTAGCTTTAGGGTTTTTTAGAAAGGATTTTGGATTTTCATAATCATTTTGCATTTTTTGGAAAAACCTGAACACTTTTCTCTTCAATGACCGTGGGCATACATGTACACGTAGAATGAAAGTAAATAGGGAACTGACAAAAACTTATTTATCTTGCCAAATAATCTGCCCTTTTTAATGCAAAAAGACTGCACAGAAATGAAATCTGTGCATCGAGTGCATATAACCCATGACCATGAATGGAGCACGCCATCAAACCTTTCACTGAAAACAACTTAATACATTACTCCACATTTCAATAAAAAAAAATGTAAAATCCGACAAAATTTTGAATGCCAGAAATTCAGCACAGAACACACAGCTGGCAAATTTTCTGTAAATTACATACTGGTTCAAATGAGTTATTCAATGAATTTGGCATTTATTGAAATAAACATTTTTGTGACGAACATGGGTACCTTCACGAGTTGGTGGTGGGAAACTTGTATTTTAGTATAAAATTTACTTCTTAGAATCTGTGTTTGATCTCAAAATTTAAAGAATTTGGTTTATTTGTTGATCTAAAATTTAAAGAAGAAACAGGTGGGTTTGCACAGTACTCAAAACTAATACCCCTCCTCACCGGGCAAGGGAGAGAACAATAGGAAATAAACAAAAGAGGATGAGAATCACCAACTTGCTTGAAAAAACCTGGAATCCCCCCTCCCCCAGATGGGTTGTCAGTTTGTAGAATCGACGGTGAGTATACAAGGGCCCTGTTTTACGGGTTTACAGTTCGCTGCTGGATGAGTGCATACTTTGCCAGTTCCCGCTCTCCCTTAAGAAACGGCGACATGACCTTGCCCGACTTCTACACCCTCAGAAAAAGTTTTTACATTCTGAAAAGTTTAAACAACAAAGCACTGTTCACGAAAGAGTTTTTGTAAATCATAACATACTCTCCCAGCAAAAATTTGCAAAGATTTTTCCCCCTTAATAAATTTAGTCCGATGCAGATTACTTTACACATGCGTCTAATTTTTAAAGCAGTAAGACCGATCGAAAGATAGGCGTGCGAATAATTGTTGTATATTTACTAGAATTGTTGCACCCCTTTAAAGTCATTAGTTGCACGCACACCCTCCGGATCGGCCACTTAATGTGTGGCAGATGTGTTTTATACGTACTGCTTGTGACATCAAAAGTCTGGTCACGGTTTCCTGGAATTTATAATCATAACTACCATTATCTGTTTCAAAGAAATGAAATGTAAACTTTTATTATTGTTCATTGATTTAGTGTATAAAAACATGTGTGAGGTACTGCTACGTTGATTAATTTTACCTCAAATTTTCATTTTATGGTGAATTTTACATGACAAACTTCCCAAATAGTGTCACTGCGATGTAAACTTGATCCGTCCCAGTGACAGTAAGGGTGCAGCCTACTGGAGGCGTGGAATGTAAAATTAATATTCATAAACTTCTGCTTGCAACAAAAGCCGTTTTATACCGCTCGAGTATCCATCAGTGGGAGGTCCTTGCTTTGTACGCCGCGCAATATGTAAACAACTTCGAGTGACGTAAGTACCTTCAGTCTTGCTGAAGATCTCTTCTCCCCGCTGATCGAGAAATGCGCATGTTTGTTTGTTTGTTTTTAGTACAGATTAAAGAAAAGGCGTTATTCCCTCGAAAACCGGTCTCTGGTTGATACATGTACCAGTGTGAAGGTCTACTGTGAAAATAACGACAGTTTAAGTAAACAAACAAATGGGGGTTGTCATTGGGTGTTAGAATTCTTTTAGGGAGTGTTGTGTACAAGAATAAACATTCAGTACCCGGCACCATTCACGGCTATTTCCGAGTACGAGTCTACAGAAAGGGGACCTGAGAGATTGACGGGGTCGAGTCTCTCTTCAGCTGTTGCCTAACAGCAAGTACATCATGTACTGGGACAGCAAAAGGCCACCGCTGGGATTCGAACTCACCTTCTAAAGCCAACTGAGAGATTAATTATTTCGCCATTTCATCGATATCACAGCTGCTTTTCACCCCACTACAATAGCACAACACGTAGTAGCCCCGGTGGACTCCCTAACCGTACTACGTTACGGAGGGAAATGAAGACAACTTCCAACCTGGGCTAACCACCAAGTCCATGTAAACATAACTGTCAACATCAACCGGTCTCCCCGAAAGCTTTATCTTGGTACAAGTACACATACAGTACATGTAACTGCACGCACATCAATATTATCGGAAGTCTACATGTATGAATTCCTTCTTGGTTCAATATGTGAATAACACATCGTTTGGTGGGGTAGTTTTTCGTGCTTTTTCTTATAATATGAAATCAACATCATGAAATGCACGGTATTTGCACCAACACCTGAATTTTACATGGAATGTCACAGAAACAAAGAAACATGTACGTACAACCATAGCCCCACTTGTGTGGCACGGACTCTAACTCGGGAGTCCGTGCCACACTAGTGGGGCTAGTACAACCATTGCCCTGCACTGAGGAAGATTTTGTTCTTCCAGCTTCAATTTAATTCAACTGTCCACTTTATGTCTCTAAAACTCTATCTCATGTACTGATTACACTTACCGTGGGGATTTTACAAACATGGGCTTAATGACGGTTGCTCATTTCACAAATCTCATACTTTGAAAACAATTCAAATACCATCCGTAATATTACAGTGTCACAAAATCAATTGCTTTTCGTCACTGACTGATGCCAAAACAGCCCTTTACAATTTCAACCATATCTCAGTATTTACATTCTTGCTGTAAACCTAGTTTACTAGCTATCCCAGCCCTTCCCTCCACATAAGTCTTGCCTTCAGAATCACCCAAGCAAGTGACCTTTCCAACTGTCTCAAGCTCATCAAGCACCATCATGAAATGGTGTTTAAAAAGAAGTCCTTGGGTTAAGTCTAGGTCAATAACAATTGCTCGGTACACATGCCGAAATAGACTTCATCTGCTGAGCTTTGAGAGGTTGCAGCAATCCAGCAAAATACTAACTTAATGGGGTCTGGAATATTCCATCCCATAAGAACCACGAGTCTACTTTAAGACGAATTATGTCAACCGGTACAGTCGGTGGGTGACACCCATCCTAACGGTGGATGTAACAAACCCCCAAGGCACTTCTGCAAATCTGAAATAAATAACAACTCTTAAACTCTTTCTAACAATTTGAACGGCATGTCCAGCAAATGGGGTAACTTATCCATCAGCTCTTGCCTGGTTTTTCTTTTTTGTCGTCTTTTTTTTGTACCTAACTACAGCCAGTGTGAGCACCTCACAACTGGGTTCTCGTAGCAGGAACCTTTGCCCCACTTACTGTCTATGAACAAATTTGAGGTCCATGTTTTCTAAAAGTTCGTTCCGTTTCAACAAGGTCTGCAGAAATCCTTACATTAAAAAATGAGGCACCACAAATACAAAGAGAAGGGTAAGCCTTGATACATGAGTCTTAAAGTAGCGCAAATATCTTCAAGATTCTTTCGATGGAATCTCCCCACTGTACACTTATGATAATGTTCAGCTCTTCCTGGGGAAACGGAGTACATAAGGGTGATGTCATTTGAACCAGGAAGTGTGGTGAAAATAGATGAAGTACAGATGTTGGTTCACACACTGGTTCTTGCGCTAATGCCTTTAACGCGTAATTTTGTTCGTGACGTATTTGCTTCGGTATTCTACACAAACAGTATCTCATGCACTTTCTTGATGTCAAACATTCCAATGTTTTCCTAGAGAGTCTGAATGATCAATTTCCTCCTGCTGTCGTGGGTGAACTTGTGCCCCTTGAAGATCTCGCTCTCGAAAAACTGGGCCAAGTTGTGGATGTTGATTTGACGAGCCTAGGGTAACAAAATAGAGACAATACAATGTAAAGAAATAATTATGGTTGAAAATTGGGACAATGGTTTACAGTTGTTCTCAGAACTTTGCAATCTTCTCTAAATCTTGGAAAATTCAAGCATTACTACTTTAAGAAGTCTATATTTTAACATTCCAGACACAGGTTTTTTTTGGGGTTTGAATTTCAAATGGAAAAAGAAATGGTTTGCAGTTATGGGTGAAATTGTTGAACTATTAAGCTATGTGAGGTTTGATAACCCAGATGGAAACCAATGCACTTATGTTTGAACTACACACTGCAGAGATTTTAAGCCGTTCTCGGTGAACATATTGCAATTTAAAAACCGCATCTCCTGCACTAACACTTCTTGTGGGACAGTGCATAAAAGGAAATTTGACAAAAACAAACGTACTTTGTCAGCCAGATCTTTTTCGGATATTTCAATGACATCCTGATCTGTGCCGTAGCGAGTCCTGTAGAATGTCATCTGCTCAGTGACAAGTTGCTTCAGGATGAAAAGGAGCAGCTCGTTGTTGTCCCGACGGAAGCTCAAATATCTGGAAAAATTCTGACCAATGAAAAAAACACACTTTGCAGAACATCTCCAAAAATAATCATGCACGATTATTGTCTGCTAAAATAAACAAACTAAACAGGAAATTTGATGTACATTTAATATCTCCAAAAACTACAAATCGGAATTCAACAGACAAGGTGTCAATTAGCAGATATTTTGTGACGCGTATAACTCTTAACTCATGTAACATTTAACTCATAGTTTCCAAAAAAGGTGGATATTGCATTTTGCGAAGAAACTCTTTAATTAATCTGCTGAAAGTGACTGGACAAGTAGAGAGACTTGTTAAAGGACTTGTGGACTCCGTTAGAGCACTGCCCATTAGCCAACACCCATCTGGCAATATCCCATCAGTCTCTTTGACCGACTTCAATAGAATTCTGCCGCCTACCTTTCGCATGCTGCGCATGACGCTGTACTTCTGTGTGTCGATGAAGCTCTCCAACATGATGCGGATGGCCATGTTGACGTCATCCTCGTTCACATACTCGCGCAGGTGCATGCGCGCGTGGGACTCTGCCATGCGAATGACGGACTCAATGTGTCGCACGGTGATGGGAATACTGCCTGTCGCCTGCAAAAACAAGTATTATGCTATTAATAACCATAAACTGGAGCACGTTCAAAACAACCTTCTAAGAGCCAGTAATGACATCAATTTCTATAATGAAACTGTATTTGTGAGGTGTGTCTGTCACAGAATAAGAAATACTGCATTCTAATCCAGTTGTGATACGCATTTTTACAAGGTCACATTTTCAAGAAAAAAACTGTAGCAAGAATTTTTGTCCGACTACACCATAGGTCAACATGAAATGCATGAAATTGCAAGACATACCCAACATGCAGTACATGTACGACAAGGTCAAACAATGTCAAACCCCCAAAATATAAGGCCATTCCAATGAAGCCTGATAAATTTCAAATTTTTTTCGCATTCAATTCAATGCAGACGATTGCCATAACTGATACACTTTCTATTTGCACCGCCTTGGCACTGTTTGATGTTTTGTGCCACACCATTCGGGTTCAAATATTGTGAGCTCAAGCAAAAGATGTTTGCCTCCTCTTTGCCATTGAGGAAAACAGGTTGAACGACAATCCAAACTGATTCTGCGTGCAGCATGCATCAAAGCCGAATGGCGGGGACATTACCATCGACTCTCGCCTGAGGTCCGAGTACATCTTGGCCACTTTGTCCTGGTCCATGCGGTGCAGTTTAGGGTGGACCTTCTCCTTGGCGTAGATGATGTACTTCTTGAGGAGTTCTTGGGGAATCTGCTCCAACCCTGAGGAGGAGGGGAGGTCCTAGAGACAACAGGAAAGATTGAGAATCAGTTTCATCTCTGAACCTGAGGAATCAGACATACACTGTTGCTCCACATCATAACATTTATAGGTTTTTTGGTGAAGTCTTCCAATTGAAATCTTAAAGGCCTCTCTGCCGATGATCTATTAGCATTTTGTTTTCAGAATTTCTCAAAGCCCAGGACAAAACCTATTTGTCTGCTCAGGAAAGATTCCTGCCTAAAGCTGTAAGTGGGGAGGACGTAACAGCTCAATCACGAAGTTCACTAATTTGCCTAGCCTATTTGAATTTGACTAAATGATAATCAGTAAGAGTGCAGCTTATTGGTTGGGTCTACTTACCGGGAGGTTTTCCTCCAGTTCGCCGCTGTTTGACGGGTGATGTCTAATGTGGCTGTCTGTCACAAACCTCGCCAACATCTCATCCTGAAGTATCAATATGGGGATAAAATTCAACCTTAAAATTCCCCGTTCAATGACAACGCCAAACTTAAAGCTCGAACAACACACAAGTATCGGCAAGGGTAAATATAGGATTACTCGGGTCAGGCTGTCGTGACAACAATGAACCAATCTAACACGATAATTATTCACGAAGCAGTATTGGTAACTCGTAGCAGTACTGACTACACATCTGAATCCCAGCGTGTATGGTTGGCTCTCGTGTCCGTGTGTGGACACCTGTCAATCTGTAACAGAGCCTCTGTAGCACTCAACATAACCTGAGCCAACGTTCTTTAATTCATTTCTCTTTCTTTTGTCCATTGAAGATTTAAACAACTGCAGAGTGAAAATCATTGTGGCCAAAAATTTCTTCTAAATTCCTTCCATGTGTACTAAGGTTTGGTTTGAAAAGTGTCTAATAGTTAACACTTTAGCATTGCAGGCTAGAGGGTAAATGAGGAACACTGGCAAGTATGCCTGTGAAGAGTAGCTTAAAATTTAAGTTTTACCTTGACTGGGTCAACGATATCCCTCACAACACACAAGATATCAAAACGGGATAGAATGGGCTCCGTCAAATCAACCTGGAAATCAAATGAAATGTTTGAATTGTTACACTACTGTTCAAGGAAGTAAAAATCACACAGACAATTATTTTTCTATAGCTTTCGAGACTAAACTGTAAAATATGATTTACTAGAAATTTGAGACTTTCATGAAGCATCTTTGAAACTCAAAAACTCTAACATTTTCTGAGAATGTCATGGATTGGTTGTAGCGCCCTCCTATGGGATTAGCAGCAGCCATGATGGAGCATCGAGCGTGGAGCGATGTGACGATACCAGCCTTTGATATAGAGATACTCTGTTGTTCCATAGCCTCGTGTATACTCGTACGATCGTTGTCATTCATCTATGAGGAAAAAACACATGAAATGTCACAAATTTTAATGATTAATTTTGCCTACAACAATGCAATTAGATCCAACAGAAATGCCAATGCTGTATCTCAAACTTGAGGCCAGAACATTTTGGCAAGTCACAACGCCCTACTGGCCGAAGAGGGAAATAACGTAGATACCACCTGCCATGCCATCCCAATGGCATTCAATTTGCAAGATTATTCAATTAAAATCTGTATCTGAAATAAATTTCAGACAGACAGTAAAACAGACAGCCAAATTGACCAACCTTGTCAAACTCATCTATGATACACACTCCCCTGTCAGCCAGCACCAAGGCCCCAGCTTCCAGTGTCCACTCTCGGGACACGGGATTCCTCTGGACGTAGGCTGTCAGACCGACGGCCGAAGCACCTTGACCTGTTGTGAACACAGCACGGCTGGCTGTTTTCTCCACGTACTTCAGGAACTGTGACTTGGCCGTGCCAGGGTCGCCGCACAAGAGGATGTTGATGTCACCCCTGACCTTGTGTTTTTGACCTGAAAATAAGAGTAGTTACAAAACTGTCGTTCAAATTTATTGAATTGCTTTACTGACAACAGGTATCGTCCTAAAATAATGCTAGTCTCTGAAGTGTAATGCTTTTATATACAATGGAAATGGTTCTATGCAGACAAACTGTACGTTGCTGACATTTATTCTGCTCAGTTGAAAAGAATGCTACTATCGCAACAAACATAACCAAAGATCTTCTAATGTGATGACAACCAAAATCTTTAATGGTCATTGTAGAGTTGGGATGCAAGAGTGAATGTTTTTTCATAGTCTTCAGAAGTTCCTACTGTCATTAGAATCATTTGTTTCATCTGCAACAGCTATAATAAAACCTACTCCAGTAACATGACAGGCCAGTTATTGCGAGAAATCTCTGATTTTAATTCTTTAAATCTTCAAGGTCTACCACGGCTGCTGCATACATCCCTGCTCAGATCTATCTGATGAGTTTAAACTCCCAAGACTTGATTTCTGTCTCTTTACCGGGATGCTATCAAAGCATGCAGAACCATCGTTAAAATCTCACCAGGATTTTTGGCTTCTCCCCCAAACAGTGCCAGCGCAATGCCTTTCTTGATGTCCTCGTGACCATATATGGAAGGCGCAATGCTAGCAAAGATCTGAAATGAAAATGCACAGCAATGATTCATCCCCTGTGGAAGTAAAAGTTTGTCATACCAGAGATTTTTTTTAGGCAAGTCCTTGAGGCGAGCAAAGATTCAGATATATTTATATCTTTGCTAAAGACAGTTTGGTACAGCATGCATAAATTGTTGACCCTAGTGAGTAAATATCTCCAAAAAGAATAAGTTGCAACTAAAACAGTGATTTTGTTTTCTTACTACAAAGTACACAGAATTGTAATTGCTATATGGCACAGTGGTTGCAAATTTCAGAAATAAGAATGTCCGAAATTTTTTGCAATCGGAAATATAAATTATATGATTTGGTTGGCTGCACAATGCTCACTCTTTCACCGATGCGCTCATCTTTTGACAGGGCCACGATGGCTTTGATGTCTTCATCTGTTAGACTTCCTACTGCCATCTTGTCGTCTTTTTTAGTGATGTAGTTGGCTTGGATGACGGTGGCGAAGACAGGGAAGCCGTTGGCCGTGTTCAGGGAGCCGTCGTAATTGTTGTGATAGATGCCGGTTAATTCCTGTTGGGGCAAACACATTGAAGAAAATGTTTATGAAAGTGTTTTCCCCTATAAATTATGAAAACAATCAAATGTTTCAATTTATCCAAAGTAAAAATGCACCCCCCCTTTTGGGTGTTTTGGGTGCAAGGGGAGGCAACGCCCTAACCTTTAAAAAAGATAAACAATAATATTAGTCAAAGGTCATTTCTTGACATCACTTACGATTTCGTCTCCCGGCTTACAACTGTCAACAAGATCTGCTAACAAGATGGCATCCTTGGACCTTGGCAAACGACCAGCGGCGACTTTGCCCGGACTCTCTTGAATCGTGATTCTTTGGTAGTTCTTGTAGAGTGTCTGCCAAGGAAAGCAGAAGAAATTTGTTTTGTCAATTCGGCATTCATTACATGGGTTTGAACGATTTCTCACGATGCTGGTAAACTAATTAAAATCATAGACCAGAACTATGGCCTCTTCTGGTCCACAGGCCTAGTGGTTAGGGTTTACGACTTGTTATCGTGAAGGTCAAAGGTTCAAATCCAGCTGTTGACAAGAAGTCATGGCCATTGAGAGTCACTTCACCCCAGCTTGCCTCTCTCCGACCAGGAGTATAAATCAGAATTAGCCGGGGACCAATCTGCAATGGACTGGCATCCCATCCAAGGAAGAATAGAGACATTCTCGTTTTTTTCTCACCGATACATGTTCCCCTACACGATAAGCCAAACTGACTTGGATGGACTTCTCTCCTACTTGGCTACAACTAAGAATAAACATTCTACACTTAACTTTGCAGACTTAGGTAGTGACACAGCTGAAATGCCAGAGTTCTCACTGTGACTAGCAAACTTTCTTTATTGAGCTTACCTCTTCCATGTTGATTTCAAATGGTCCGCCAGACTGGCACTCGGGGCAGGACCCTGGCCGTACCTCCTGGTTCTGGTTCTGATAGAACGGCCCCAGGACAAAGCCGCACTTTGGACAGTCGTACTTGACCATGCTCAGCTGGGGCAGGATGCCTGTGGTGGATGTGACCACGCCACTCGTCCGGATCAGCTGATTGAGGTGCAGTTGTCTGGAAAGAGCAGAGATGATTTACAAGAGTCAATTGCCTGAAATTGACCACATTTCAGTCAGAGCATACAAATGTGATGATCTTGCAAGATGCATAAGGTCTGGACATCTTTGTTCAGTATACTCATGGAAGGTTTGCAGATCCTTCAGGGAAACCTTGATTGCAAACACGATGGATTGTATGCAGGATTAGCAGACAGTGTTTTGTGACAACTCGCAAAAGCTCCAAAGTGAACCCCATAACGTCCAAAAAATTGTTCACATGTAGATGGAAGAGGGGCATATCTGACCAAATTCATTTGAATACGTACAAAACCGAATGCTTTGTGCTTTGCATAGACAATGGGCATACAGCAGCAACTCGAATGTCCCTCTGTCACTGTTGACTTGGATCCAGAACTTGTTCACCACTTTAGCCACTTTAATTATGAAGTCTGGATGAAATTTCATAATTCAGCAAAAAACAGTTTACAGAGAACAAAAAAATTACTTTCGGATACCACTAAGCTATTGTCTTACCGTAACGATCGGAGCTCCTCAACCAAAGGTAGCTCGGCGATGCGGACATGAATCTCCTTCGCAATTTGCTCATACTTGGGGAACATGTACAGCACCACTTCCTTAGCCGCCTCATCAAAGATTTTGAGCATCTCGGCAGGTGCTTCAGGGAGGAAGTAGGCAAGCACTTGCTCTTGAGAGGCCAAGATGTTGTAGTCGATCACCAGGCTCTCCTTGTTGGCTTAAAGGGGGAAAAAAGGGAAGTTCATTCCACTAGACCACTGAACGTAGACCCAACAGACCACTTGCAAGATGACTCTGAATAATGTCCAGTATCCTCAGTTTTTGTAACATGTCCATACTCCAATTTAAAATTCCTTAAACCAGCCAATTTTACTCACTGTAAATAACATATTAATGCTGCAGGTTTCTAATGGAGCTAACTCTAAAAGCAGGAGAACTCTAAAAGCAGGAGAACTCTAAAAGCAGGAGAACTCTAAAAGCAGGAGAACTCAGAGCTGAACATGTACTGTTGAACACATGAACAAATCACTGTTATTCTAAAGTTCTGGAGGACTTCAAATGCAAAATTCAGTTACGTTTGGCCGTGCATAGTTTGTGACTAAGGCTTTTGTTTTTGCCACTGGTGAGCTGCAGAAGCAATAGCCAACAACATTAAGGCTTTTGTCATGGCTCATATAATGGACTAACAGGAATATGCACCACCGAAACTTCCAGTTTAGGAAGCCAACTCCTTGGTCATCCCTGTTCAGAATTCACATCACACGTTCCAAGTTACTTCTGATGGGTAAAAGTGATCAGTGTTACCTTCGCACATCTGGCGGATCTTCTCCCGGTACAAATTGTGGCCCTTGTCGTCGACAAACGTGCGGAGGAAGTTCTTGAATCGGTTGTAGATTTCCAGCCTGGGGCCGGCCATTGATACCCACTCCCGGACGGAGTGACCCTTCATGTCCTCTAGATTCTCGATGCTCTCAATCATCTGAAAGAACGCGGCAAATGGTAGAAAATGAATCAAAAAAGACACTGTAATGTTGTTCTAGAATTCCTTTAAGTGTTTTTTTTTACACTGAAACTGATAAAAAGCAGTCATGAGCTGTTAGTGCATGCTAAGAACATAAAACAGTTTACCCCCTTTCCTGCGTCTAGGCCTGTTCTATAATAAGAGAATAAATATGTGCTTGGCCAATCTTGAGTATCCGTTAAGACAGACCAGGAGAATGGAAGCATCCAATGCTCAAACCGCACATAAATACATTTAGAGTCGGTAAGTCACAGCAAGTTTTTAAAAATTACAAGCTTCCAATGACTATATGCGACAATTTTACTTCATTTTTTAAAACACCCCTTTAGCAATGCTATGGTATGTTCCTCTTGCGAGCAGTCATAAACAATATCTTTATAAAGAGATTGGTCGTTCATCCATTAACGAGAAAAGGCTGGTTCCTGGTCCTTCCGTCATTTCAAAGATGAAACGAAGGGAACCAGACCATATTAGCGTACCTCTTCCTCGTCTTCCATTCCTTCAGCTGCTCTCTCAGCAAGACGTCGTCGTCTTGTTGGCCTTTCGTCTTCCTCATCACTGTCCTCTGATGCAATCAACAATAAAACAAAATGAAAACTGATAAACTTCTTTCAATATATGCTAGCTTTTGGTGCGGCGGTAAAAGTGTGCGCCACAAATATCATAATTGCATCTACTTTAAATCAAATTCTCAGTCATAAACCTTGGACTCCAAAATTCACTGACAAAGCTCTCCATGGTTCTTGTGCTTTATTTCTAATTCCCATAAAATCCACTTACTTGTTTCGACTTATAATGATGGATTTTGATAGATTCAGCCTCTGTTAAAGAGCAACTCAAAAAGAAAACAAAGGAACCCTCGCCCTGTGTTCGTAGTGGATAAACCCTTGTGCATGCCAAACAATGGCTACACTGTTTGACATGCATAAGGGTTTACCCACTACTAACACAGGGCGAGGGTTCCCTCGTTTTCTCTCTTTTCTCAGAATGATGCAATCTACATTCAGCATGTTCAGAATTCCCGTCTTGGCATGAACAGAAAAAGAGCCCTTTTTAGCTTATTATAATTGAGCTCTGAAGACAAATAACACTGCGTTCGATTTGGATACTTCCATAGTTATTTGAACAGATAAAATCAGAGAAAACATGTTTTCCTTTGAGTTGCTCTTTAATGGTAACAGGGGAGGGCTTACTTCCCTACACTATCTTAAAAATCCTCCAAGCAGTAATTTTCCCTCAAAAAAGCCAGGCCCCACAAACTTTGACGGAGAGCTTGTCTTTGCACAAATCTCACTTGCTCCCTACCATAGAGCAGTCCCGGTCTCATGCGGCCCGTTGCCATGGCTTCGTCTCTGTCCCTCTTCCGCATCAGCCGCTCTGCCTCTGCTCGCTCCTCGGGCCCCATGGTGTCATATTCCTCCTCGTCAAGATGATCGATGTCGTAGCGATCCAGCTCTGGGATCACACGATAATCTCTACAGTCACGAAAGGGGGAAATGACAAACTTGCTATTCACAACCGGCTGGTTGCCAACTACAAGACCAAAGTTCTCAAGGAACACAATGCATAGACCTTTCCCTACATAACAGTGAACCATTCACTGCGGTCGGTAAGTTGTAGTTGGCCTTCAATACAAACAATCAAGAGAATAATGCACAAAGTCAAAAATTACAGTTATTACATTTAAACACTGAATAACAAATGCAATTAACACATGCTATACGAAAAACGTCTCTCTGGGGCAAAAGTGCACAATGAGGCACAAGTTATTGCCAAAAAGGTGAACTTTCTGCAGACTGTTTAACAAAATCATGGAAGGCCATGCTTGGAAGTTTTGAAGTGTAAGGTCTGCTGGATTGAATTGAGCATGATTAATTTTGTGCACATGATCGCTACGGCCACAACAGAAGCTGTGATATGGTAGTCCTAGGTAGTTAACCCTAACCCACCTCAATCCTCCAAAATTCTGTGGGAGGTTTATGACATGGGGAAGAGTTCCATATACGGACACCAGTAATTATTCCCTACAGTGACCTATTAGCCATCAGAAAGCAAAAACATGTCCAGAAAAGTTCAATTTAGGAGGGAAAATTCAAACTCACTTAGAATTTTTCAAACCATTCTCATAGGATTTGTGCACAGGGTGTCAAGTGACGTCCATACATGGGACCCTTTCAATGATATGAGTTTCCAAAGTAGCTTAGTCAACCTTCAAAAGAAACAGTTCAACTGCAGAATTCCCCACCACCCCGCATGATCGACCTCATAGCCAGGTACAGGTCAAAGTGTCACACTCTTCTAAAGGGATTTTCACCTTGTATCCACGTAACCAGTCATTTCAAGGGTCATATTTTAGAGTGGCGGGGTATTCTGCAATTACTGCCAAGAAACAATGTCTCTCCATCCTACCTCTCCATTCCTTCACCAAACAATTCCTCCCCTTCTTCGTCCTCTTCCTGAACAATTTCTTCTTCCCCACGAATCTCAGACTCATCCTCAAATGGGGGGAGATCGCTCCGCCCAGGGCTGCTGGAGGGTGCCCCAATAGAACGGTCATGGCTGGTAGCGTCAGAGAAGGGTCCAGGTGAACTTGGTTCCTGTGTGCAACATTTTCAAGATTCATTAAGAGCTTAGGTAAATAATAAAGTAGGGAACACTGTTTTTACCTCCTGAGGAAGAGTTCCATATCTGGCCACCACCTTGGACCTTATCAAGCTTAGGCTATGAACAAAGCCTATGGCATTTATGGGCTATGACAGAAAAAGTTGTTCTACGCAATCTTGAATCTTGCACGAATTTATTGTCATGATTGTAGACCTACTCCGTCCTGAGTTGATTTGCCTTTGAATAAAATCTATCCAAAGGATAGCCTAGGCCTACTCTACCCCCAGAACTGTGTGGTCCGACGGCCGTGGGAAAGGAGCAGATGTCAGACCCCACAGTTCTGGGGTAGGCCTAGGCCTACTCCTAAATCAAATCAGGAGGGAGTAGCCAGTACAATAAATATGTAGGCCTAGGCTACATAAAAGGGTCAAGATTGCGCTGAACAAAGTCAAAGTAGGCATTACGTTAGGACCATTATCAAAGAAAATTTGGAAATTTTCTGCTCCGAAATTGGGCCTAGTGACCGTTTCTTCATCTGATTTACACTTTTTCATAGTTTTTAACATTTAGGCCCCAAAGTCATATTAAGGAAGGTAAGTGGTCAAGGTGGTTGCAAGATGCGGAATTCTTTCCAACAACAAATTGTAAATGTCAGATTTAGCAACGTTAACATGTTGTCAGTTGTATTCGGTTCTGATCAAACTAGCTTCACAAGTATTGTGCACGCTTTAAATGCCCGACAACAAAACAAACATAGGCCTATGCACGGGCAGCGCAACATTTTCTAAACATAATAACCATTCCGTAAAACACTGTTTTCAAGTCATCAAAACAAAGACGTACCCACAGAATGGACTAAACTGCACAACAGAATGCTTCGCAAACATTTTATTGTCAAAATGCCTCTTTTTGGCCCCCCAAAACCCACTTACCGCCATGCTGCAATGATATTCCTCCAGGTCACGTCTATGGTCTACAAGATCAAGTCTAACTGTACTCCCGCACAAACTACTCGTGATCGAAAAGCGCGCGAAATCGCTGTGGCCGGCCCTAAAGGTCATAATGAATATTTACATTAGTCTTTAAATTATGAATATTCATATTTTTGACCTCAAACCTAAACCGTTGACGTCAATGAATAACATGGCGTGACTACAACTGCGGAAGGGCTGACTCAATATTCTGTGATTAGCGGAAGTTTTCCCGTAGTAGTATTTGTTGCAGATTTATTAGTAAGTACTGATAGTTGTTTTGATATCCGATTATTCCCAACAATTCACTTGAGTTTTTTACTTCCTTGTGAGTCGCTGAGTGACTGGAATGAATGCAAGTGAGCTTGCTTGGTGAGTCGAGTGGACATGGTGGATCGAGACTGTGGCAAGTGCATTCTCTGTGTATTTAGGTTGCTCATTGCATGTAACGGTAGGCCTGCTGGGGTTGAGAAGGCAAAGGCTCCTTTCCAACCTCCATGCTGAAACATAGAGAGCATTGTGTCCGGAATCACAAAAGTAGTCAGTCCTGTATATGCTGTGTGAAATATCCAACTTTATTTCCCTTTCAAAATAAAAACAGAAGGAAAGACTTCCATATGCAGACGCACGCCACTTGACACCTTGTGCATAAACCCTTTGAGGCTGGTCTGAAAAATTCTTACAAGCGTGACCCCATAGTTGCCAGGTCTCTAATTTCCCCACCTATTGTCAAGCCTGTTTGGTTTTCACAGTACCGGTAAATGGCTAAATAAGGGATCTGGTGACTATACGGTCACCTGGTCACTCACGTTAAGTGTTTTCTAAGTAAACGATTTGGTATTTATCCTTTTAAAGTGAACTTTTCTGAATAGGTTTTTGCTTTCTCATGGCTAATGGTTCACCGTAGGGAATCATTACTGGCATTCATATATGAAACTCTTTCCAAACAAAACAAACAAAAAATTCTGTAATTAAAAATACTTAAATCTGCCAAATATCACATTTTCAGCAGAAAGGCTAGTACAGCAAAATTGAGCAGTGCACAAAGATCATCTGAACATGCAGATGGAATGATCACCCCAACAAAACAATTGTAGGCCCACACCATTGATTACGTGGCCTGGTGGCCAGGTTTTGTTTTTCATGTGATTCTTTGAAAAGAGGAACACCGTCCTTTAAAGCATGGTGCACCCAACATTTGTGAAACATTAAAGCTCGGGTGTCCAAGCTGGAGTAACTTGTGCCCGAAATTTCCAGAAATGTCATGAGCATCAAGGCCAGAATTACATGTATACAAGCTAGGATGGCCCAAGAACCATTTATGGGATTTCACGCGGCCGTAGTTCTCATGGTTGTAGGGATATTCAAAGCTCTTCAGAGAGCCTTCCAACATGGAGATGAACCTGAATGTGGTGTAATTTTGGGGACTAGAATTAGCAGCTATTACTGCCATGGCACAACTCTCACAGAAGAGAAAATTGCATCGTAATCCCACGACGCCACAACAAATTGACTGTCAAATGTCCCATTTGTTCATATATATATTTTTTTAACAAACTTGATCACTGGAGAAACGTGTTGAAGTGATTTGTCCACAACTTTTTATCATTTGCATTTATGCCATGTCAAGGCATTCTCTGCACACAGAAGGTGTCGGTTAGTCGAGCATGATTTTGACAGAGGTGATTTCTCTCCACAGCTGAATATTCAGGAGGATGACCTCAGAAGCCGGCCTTCCTGACCTAAAGCTTATCCATGTCGTGCCTCCCGCGGGAGACCATCTCAACATGACCGAGGAGCCCAGCAATAGCACCTTCGTGACGGATGCTGGAAGTTACCAACCGACCACCATCAACGGAACCTCGTCAACCAGTGCACCCATTGGAGCTATCCAGCCATGTCTCTATGTCCTTTATGCAGATATTGGCAATTCCCAGTGAGTCACTCAAATTTTTTTTTGCAAATTTCAGTGTTTCACAACTCTTAATGTAGTTCTTTTCTCCACATCCCCCAGTGTGTGGCACTACGTCTGTGGTGCGGTTTGGTCACACGTTTCAAGCTCCAGTGTGCAGATTTTAGTAACAAACATTTTCACCATTAGTACACTGTGTAAAGAAATTCTTCCCCCCGAGGAGGGGAATGTTGTCACTTCACGGGCGACAGTGTCCACATCTGGGGGTAAAGGCGGGAAAATATATGTACATGTGATTGATTTGAGCATGAAGATCAAATGTTAAACAAAATCTTATCTTGACACAGGTTGTTTTGATGAAGAAAGGAAATATTTCAAATAATTATATGCATTAAAAGGTCATTCAAGAGAGCAGATGGATGTAGTTGTATTTTGAATGTCTAGGGGATAATTGTACATTTATTCACTTTATTTATGCCAAGGCTCAGAAAAATTCGAACATTTCATATGAGAAAAACTGAACCAAATAAAAAGCTGTCAACAGCTTGATATTCAGCTATTGTGTGTATTTTCATTGGAAATGAATAGAATTTCCCCAGCAAGCCACTGTTTTGAAAGTGAAACAAAAACGTGAGCGAAGTAAACTGAACTGTGAAAAGTGCAATGTACATATACATGTATGGGTCTCACTTGGATATACGTGCATGTATATGATACAGTATTGTTTAATTAATAGGTACAGTGCTTTGATACTGTGCTGTAGAGTTAAACTGAAACAAACCAATTGCTGTCCAAATAGTCCTAGATTTGATCAGCTTGAGCGGAAACCATAATGGACTACTTGAATTGCACTTTCAACTTTTGTGGAGAATGTATTTGAATTGTTGATACACAAAATATATATATATATATATATTATGTAAATATCATATATATTATATATTATGTAAATATATATTTAAGCAAAGTCTCGAAAGATGTGAAATTGAAGTGTGTTTTAAATTTGGTTATAGTTTCTCTTTGTCTCAGTGTACCTGTGTCAACAAAACATACTCAAATGTTGGAGCACAAAAAGGACTTCCTTTTAGCTTTTGAAGTAAAAAAATTGCTCCATGTCAATTTTATGATCGTAATGACTTGGCTTTGATCTGATCAAATGCCGCACTTAACTCTTAAACTTACTTCTCATGTGGCAGTGTTCGTATATGGGACCTAGCGCTGCTCATTCCAAACACACTGTTCCTCATCTTCCTCATATTCAAATGCAAGATTGCCATCACCAAGCTTCGTCAGTCGAGTAGCGCCGTTTTCTTTGCCTTTTATGCCATGGTGAGTCCACATTTGTAAACTTGGATTTCACAGAGGGGAAAAAAAAATTGAGAATTTGGTCAATAGTCATTTTGAATGGGGTGGGATATACAAGATGGAAAAAATTAATTTAGTTATGGATAGTGCAAAACTTTGCTGGGGTCCGGCGGGTCTTATGAATCGGGGATAATTTTGTTTCATCTGGTGCACAGGAAAAACTTGATTGGAGAGTAGGAATTTTGACCCCCCCCAACAAAAAATTATTCAATGTGACATGGCATCCAGTTGAGACAACCCCCATAAGGCTGTGTGTTTATCACTCACGCAGGGATCTGTGAGATGTGCGTGCCAATTAATTTTATAGCATGTGATCTTTGTACATTTACTCCGTAGGCCTACTGCACAAGGTGTACTGGTCATGTGCCATTCTCAAGTGCTAAACAAATACTTCACAAGGAACTGACTTGGGAAAAGTGAATGATTAGACAAGACAAGACAAATATTATGAACTAAAACTGACGTGACTTATGTTGACACTTTGAAAAATTGCCACAGTATAAAAACTGACTGTCGTCCAAATTCTGTTTTTTTACGTAATGTACTGTATGCTTCAAAGTTGTGTTAACCGGCTCAAGTAAGACTCTTTCCAAATTCTCATATTCTACCAGGGCAGTATCTTAATGGATACAAAACTGCATGGCTCACCTCCTGTCAGTTTGTATGGGCATTGATGTCTCTGTTATTGTGCATTTAAATGTACATACAAAAGTGTGTCACAAGACTAGTCTTTCTATTCATTTAGCTGTTGAAAACTAAAAGCTGAGGTGAGCCAGTTACAATAACAGGAAACTGAAGACTGATGTGATCTGCCGACCTGTTGCCCAACATCAGTGTATCACACGGTGATCGTAAAATGAAAATGAACGCCTTGATTTGAGAGAATAGGGATCTTTTCTTTTAGAAAAAACAAAACTCGGAGCATTGGTGGCTTCAGGAAATTTTTGGCAAAAGCTGCCCAGTGGTTAAAAGTGTATAGGGCCCCTTCATAAGTATTTGACTGGAACTGGCGACATGTTATAGTCATTTTTATTATTGTTTTGTTATCTTGTTCTGATCCTTGTGGTCTCTCGTTTAGGTCTTGACCGTGGCAATCATCAGCGTAGCGAGAGCCGTAGTCTCCATGATGGTCAATGCGTCCACAAACAGCGGAGATATTGCAGACACGGTGAGTTGGTTGGTCCCTCTCTTCCTTCATCAGACTTCTTACCTGTTCACCGTTTGTAGTTAAACTCTGCTTTCAGCATAATGCCATTGTGGTGAGTATTTGATAGCAATAGAATGACCGCTATACTTATTGGTGCCAGCACTCGTCAGCAGCAAACTGATAAACATTTGCCAGTAGAAGGGGGCCAATTCCAAAAACAAATTTCAAAAGCAGATTAATGAATGAGTTCTCTCCACCCCCATTAGCCATAACTAGTGCCTTTGGAAGTAATACTCCGCTTTTTTAAAATCTTCTATCCATTTCATCTGGAGACACCCAACTTTAATAGTGCTGGCTTAGCTTTGAAGTGTAAAGTTCTGGTCCAGTTTTCTTTTTTTTTAAACCGAAGATTGATCTTTCCACGCAGGTTCTGTGGATCATTGTCAAGTTTTTCCTGATTTCCATCGAGTTTAGCGTCATCATTTTTGGTTTGTTCTCCAGCATGGTGGACAGTAAAGCCATCATCAAGCGAATCTTGCTAGCGACTTCGTCTATAGCCCTAGCATACTCGGTGACACAGGTAAGCTTAGAAATCCCAAACCGGGTGAAACTTAGTCCAGCATTTCCATATGAATTCTTCACCACATTCTCTACTTTATTCTGGATATTGAAAACAGCTTTCAACCATTTTTTTTGTGGGGGGGCAAATTCAGGGTGCTCTGGAGATCAAGTTTCCTGACAAGCATTACATTGCACCAGATAAATACGACATCTACGCTCACGGCGGCATGCTGTTCTGGTGTATAAGCTCATCGATATTTTCCTTGGTGAGTGTATTTTAACAAGGCAGTTTCACTGAGTCATATTCTACAAAGGGCTTGGGGCATGTACTGTGGGCCTTCAGCGTACCAAACAAAACTGGCATCGTCACTTTTCAATCATGTGCCATTCAGTGTGACTTTTTTACAACCTAGATCCGTTTCTACCAGATGGGTTCACATCTCAGCTGAGATTAGTCAGTTGCATTAGTCCTGAGATCTCAAGTATACTGACTTGATACATGATTCTCTCATTAGTTGACACACACAGCCACCATTGTTGGTAGTGTAAACAGAGAGTAAAGCTTAGCCATCTGGGGGGGTTATACCCTATTTCCGTCTCAGTTTTTCCAAATTTCATCACTTTTTGGTTTGTTTTTTATTTGTTTGCAGGCCTATTTTATCATCTTGATTCTGCCGTACACAAAGATGAAAGACAAAGTACAGCTCCCAGGTCAGTATGCTGTGTGGGGTCAGATGCCAAAGGGCATGACACACAGGTCACGTCCATAATTGCCTGGAGAGCAAGCCATTAAGAAGGGAGACTTTACCCCAAATTCAAATGGCTTTGAAAAGGCAGAAGATATTCATGCCATCTGCGTAGCACAGGGAGGCCTTGTCATAATTGAAATTTCACTCCTGCCTTATAATCAGCACAAAATTTCATAACAGCCACAAAATCTGCGCACGTGTCATTTTTGTGTGTGTTGTTACTCTAAACAACCCCCCATCAGTCAAAATCCATATCCTATGTCTGCAGTACTTTGATGGTTTCAGGACTGTCAGGTGTAGTCAGTTTAATCTTAGCTAGCCTTAATGATTGGTTTGTTGTTGGATGAAAAGGTTTTGATGCTCATTCTCGCACAACGTTACAATTAGTGATAGACGGGGAAGTAGTCTAACTCGGCACACTATTTTTGCTCTGATATCTCTCCAGTTAAAAGGTCCTTCTACTGCTACGTGGCATTTCTGGCCCTGCTGAATCTAGTCCAGGCCATAGCAAGTGGCCTCGTCTATGCAGACAAAACACTTGCCATCTGGTGAGTGACCTTGTGTCCTGTCGTGGCCTCAAGCTTGCTCTGGCCATTTCTAACTGAGCTCATGCGTGATTCTGACACTGTAGAAGTTTTAATTGGCAAGGATAATTGCACATCGTAATGTCAAAAGAAGTTTACTTGTGAAAGAGTTTGAGGAGGCCAGCACGAATTTTATCATTTTGTCATTTATCATGGCCATTCCTCGTGATGTTCTTTCCTCAAATGTCTTCATGGTATGTGACTGCGTTCTCTGTCTTTTATTCCCCAGTGTTGTGGACATCACATCCTTTGTCTATTTCTCCATCTTTGCTCCATTAATCTACCTTACATTCCTACACAAATTCTTCCGGTGAGTCACTTGTTTATATTAGTCAGTATTTGTGATTATGTAAGTCAGTGTTTGGATGCCTACTGATCCAAACAAGATCACCAAATCATCAACAAGCCGGGGTGATAAAATGTCATGTCACCCCCCTCCCCCATCAGATCAACTATCCTTGGGGTAATCGGTATTTTGAAATCCTTGTCCCGAAATTAAATTCACAACAAAGGTGTTTTTGCCCGATCCCCCTTCATGCTCCCAAACGGTCTGAACCACAGCATTCGCTTAACAGTTCAGATTGGTATTAGATTTTGCCCTTCACCACTGGGGCACACGTTGGTGCACAGGAACCAGATGAGATAAGGGGGCCTGCTCATGTGCCTAACTAGAAACAAAAAGCCTAGGCAATGTCTGCAGAATCTGTTGTAGTGAGGGGTTTTAGGGTGACAACTGACAAGGCCCATCAGGATTGTATACCCGTTAACTCAGTGCTAAAAGGTCATTATGGCCAAATGTAACTTCTCTGAAAACCTTTGAACTTCTTTTGCCCAATTCATGTTTAAAATAATATTTTTCAATATACGCCTTTTTAGTGAAATTTTTCAATAAGGACCGTTTAGCACTGACACGACAACCTCACCTGCACAACTGCTAATCACTTCTCTGATTCACTTGGCCTCCCTTAGGCAGCACAAACAGCCCTTGCTCCTGTCCTACAACAACCCGGATGAGGCTGAGGACGAGGCCCACCGCCTACCCAACTCCTACATCGTCCCAAGCAAGGAGGAGCCCATCAGCCCTGGCCCCACCCTGTACAACAGCACGGAGTTCGGCCAGTCGCCCAACATCACCTTCGGTCCCCTAGTCATTGGTAACCCCATGGGCAACAGGCACATGTCCGCACAGTCAGTGGTCGAGAACCAGCCGGTAGCCAGCATCAACTACGACGAGGGATAAGGTGAAAATGTGCAAACTAGGGGGTTTGGAGGTTGTTTGAGTAAATAGGATGGAAGACTGATGCAAACGCATTCACGGTGCATTTAGGCAGATACGGCCCCGAGTTGCGTTTATTGTGTTCCTGAGTTACGCACCCTGACCATAAATGAACTTAAACTAAGCTGTGAGTTAATCTCTGCTTGGCCTTGGTTGATTTAAGCCATGGCTGAAAATGCCGGTGGCTTCAGCAGACCTCACGCCTCGTTGAATCCTGCTGGAATTAGCAAATGGCTCGCTTTGATGTTGTTAGACTCCGTTGGATCCAGGACCCCTCATGCTTTGCTGTTGGATTTCCTTGGTTTCAACAGGCCTCAACCTTTCTGTTGGACTGTCTGTCAAATTCAGTAGACCTCGTTCACTGATGTTTCAGATTCTGTTCAATTCAGGGAACACATATTGCTATAGTTGGAATCAGTAGATTTCATACTTTGCTGGTGCTAAATCTGATCGGACTCTGCAGATGTCGTTGCTATCGAGGTAATATACAGCACGTTGTCCACTTGATGTACAAACCTCAGATATGTGGGAAAAAGACGCGCACCTAGATTAAGGGTGTGATGTTTGCCCAGCATCAAGTCTGTGGTCCAAGCAAGGATTGAGACAATGCTAGATAGCCCCTAGAAACCAGACATTTTCCTGAATCTTTCAGTGATTACCCTCGGTTTCACTGTAGACCGATTTTGAGAGTTCAAAGAACCGGCGTAAGTTTAAAAGCTGTGGAATATTATCGCGCTGGAAATGTACCCTGGGGCGTGTGATGGAGAGGGATTCAGGTGTGTGATTATTCAGACCTCTGGGGGGGGGCATTTTGGTGTGCCATGGGGGAAGGGGTCACAATCACGCACCTCTAATCACTCAGGACTGGAATGACCGTGGCAAAAATATACTTGATGACCTCAGGTGTTTGAAGAGAAATAGCGTTATATCTGTGAGCCATTTCTGTGTATACTTGGGCAAACTTCTTTTTTTGGGGGGGGTGTTTTGTTGTTTTCTTTAAGCGCCCGTAAATTCTGAAGTGACACAGGACCAAGTTTTTCCGACATTTTCTCTGAACAAAGAATTAGTCCATTTTATGTTGCGTTTGCCTGAATGCCCATGGATTGAAGTCTAAGTGCATAGAGTGTGCCATCTTGTTCCTGTGCAGTTGGAAGGCTGTGAACTAGCTTGGTGAATGTATCAAAAGTAGTAGACATTTGTGCTCATCTTTCATGGGTTGAGGTCAAACAGATATGTCAAGAAGTGCTCACCGATGTGTATATTTGCATTTATAACTGGTGCTCGTGTTGCAATAGTATATTTGCTGAAAGTCACAAAGAGGTCTGATGCCGGCCCTGCCTAGTGCCGAGACACTACAATCATTTCAGTTCTAATAGGAATGCTCCAGTGGTGATCATCATTTGCATCACCAGTATTTATGATATTGATTGTCATTCAACGTTATTTTTACCATAATCAGCAATGTCACTATCACCTCAAATCATCATTGTTATCACATCCACCATCTCTATCATCACCATAGTTAGACTTATAACTCTAGGGAATGTCATGTGACACTTGACATTCCCTTGTCACACTTTGCTTATGTGACCCGGGGTTGGAATCCAGCTTGGTCCAATGGGATGTGGATCTCATTCCCTCATGAATTCTGTGGGTCATTTCGTTGCCTTCATCTTTGTGTCGTTATTTTCCCCCCACATCTCTTTTTGATCTCTGTCGTCTCCATCATCCATTTTCTGTTCCTGTCCTTTATCTCAGGTGTCCATGTCCTCATTGCCCTTCGTCACCATAGTAACCGTTGTCATCCAGTGGCAGATCTGGCATTGAAAGGGAAGGGGGGCTCAAATAGAGGTGAACCAGAACATACCAGACCAGGCATATTTGCAGTGGGAATAAAAGTTATTAAATAACCAGTTGATGGCAAAAGCAGGAATAGGGAGCAGGAACAAGGATTTTTCTTTTTCTTCCCCTTTCCAGACTTGCTACCGTAATAGTCATGAGTCCCAACATCTACATGGCAATTTTAGAAATTGGTGCTGTAATGAAAGCATTCATTTATCACAGATTTATTACCCTAGTCAGAATGCTTGTGTGGGGATTATGTGATTCATATTATCCCAAGTACGCATTATATGTTCATTTAAACTTATGAATATAGCAAATTGAACCTTGACTTTCCGTGTTACTACGTATTTTATTGGTACCCCCTTTGCTGAATTTTGGATTCCATCTCTGCTTTTAGTTGTAACCAATTTTGCCGATCCCAATTTGTGATTCTGTAAATTTTTTCTACAAGCCTCTTATACGGGATCCTGTATCGCACACTAAATCTGACCCATTTGTTGTCAGGTTCCGATTTTTTTAAAAACAAATCTTGCCAACCTTCTTTGAATGACAAGCAACGAGCTAGACAGCTGTGGAAATCACTTTGTATGGGTTGAATAGAGTTATATTGGTTTGGAGGAGGCTGTATATATTTATATTATACATAGTTGTTATCAAATCCTTGTAGAAAATGTACAAAATGGGAAGATTTTATATCTCTTGTTCTGGGGTGTCTTGGAATTTGAGTTATTGCTTTTGTTTTGTCCCATTTCATGTTCGCTTTGTGTGTGACTGGTTTTAAGGATGAGAAACCGGCGTATAAAAATATTCTCCCTTTTTAGTGTAATGCTATAAAGTCCATTCTTTTCCAGAACAGACAGAAAATCTTGTTCAGAACTTTATTTCCAACTTTTCTGGCGTTTTTGAGAAGTTGTCAGAAAGAAAAGTTGTTCCAAATGAAGGAGATAAACAGCTGATATTTTCCACAGAATTCCAGTGCATAGAAATTGTGTACTTTTCTTATTTCCAGTTCCTTTTTCCCCCTTCATACACATAAGGCTGGTGAGTGTCCCTTTTATTTTCAAAAGGCTTGACTCTAATTGCACATGTCCTATGTGAGAAGTGTGCCCCCGATTTTTCATCATTTCCAATGTTTCCAATATTGGCATTTGCTCGGCACTTTCAGATACTTATTTGACGCATTATATATCTAAGGAGGATACCTGTTGCACCTGTTTATTAGGGTTGTTTTCAACTCAGTCCTGTGCACCACTTCCTCACCAAGGTCTTTCTGCTCCAAGTATGAGCACACGACAGTACATGTACGTGTACATCCTGAATGGCTGGTTACTGCAGGAATTTGTATAAATACTTTGTGGATTTGCAGGATGGAATATTAGCACGGCTTTGCAATGAAACCTCTAAAAGGAAGCACATCAGGAATTCAGTAGGAATGCTTAAACAATGCAGGTTGAATATTTCAGCAGTGCAGTGAATGCAGTGTTTTCGCGGGACGCCATGTTGGTGTGCTAGCACATTCCTTCTCATGCTGGTGCTGCCACAGCAACAATAGTACATTGTACAGGGCTTGCCACTTTGACGACGACAATTATGCTGTGAGTGGTGAAGTCAAAAACAAAGAGAAGATCTCTGATGTTATCTCTGTACAGCCACATTGTGGGACCAATGTCCTAGAGCATCTGGAGCAATCTGCTAAGCATATTTTGGGGCTGAGCAAGAATGAGCAGAGCACCAGTTTCGGTTAATGAAGTTAACATAGTACTTTGGTTGGTAACTTTTTTCTGCTACGCATACATTTTCTGTGCTTAGAAAATTTCTTAGTTCACCGGCTCCATGAAATCAGCCCCAGGTGTGTCCTTGCAAAGGCACTTACAGATTTGTACACATTCCATTGTAAATCTGTCTACACCATACATACTTGGGACCTGCACAAGCACCTGATTTGTTCTTGGAGTTGGCTGCCACAGATGACAAGGTGCAAACTGCTGTTCCTGTATTGTCCATTCAGAGGAACAAGCGTCTTCCAACATGGCGTCTCGTGAAAACTTTCTAGTAGTTGTAGCCCAACGCACTGGATTACCTTATGAATTTCAGAAATAGAATTTGTTCTAGTACAAGCCTTAAATGGCTTTTTTCTCCCAGGTCAAACTATTTTAATAAAACATAATTTACTGTTTCTATGATACACTGTGTCTGCATCTGAACGTCCTTCCATGTGAGTGTACTTATTCCAGTCCTCGGGTTATACTTTCCTCTGAACCTCTTTAAGATGAGAGGTACCGTGGATAACCTTTTTTAATTTAGTTTTTGAATAAACAATTTTTTCCTTTCTGTGTGTGTGTGTCCAGAAACCTTGCTCGACTTTTTAAATGCCACGTTTGAACTTTTTTTTTCTTGTAAGTTTTAGAAAGTGATTTCAGGAACGATGCGTGTGCTTTTTTCACTTATGTTTTCAGAAACACTCCATTCAGATTGGATGGAATCCTACATTCAGACTAGAACAACGCAACATGAACAACATAAGCATGTCCCCTTCTGAGCTTCTTACATTGGGAAAAAAATCTTAGCCCACAGAATTTGAGAGCTTCAAATGACTCCAAAAAGATGAAATAAATAATAAAGCATAAATGATGTCAATTTGGTAAGCAGGAATTCTCGCTATTGTCAGTGAAAAAGACTCTACAGTTAGCATTATTTAAAGTATTTTCAACAATCTGTATTTGAGGTACATGTACTCGATCATTTGTTCAAAGCAACATTCCAAACATTTCTGGAGCAATAATCATTGTCCCAGCAGCAGTATGGCAGGGAAGTGTTAAATTTTAACACCGGGGGGGGGAGGGTAGTTACGTAAACAAAACTCAAAGAATTCAAAACATACTCCCCAACTATTGTTTTCTGCTTTATTTAAGACATTCATCACAATGCTAATGTATCAAGCAATGCTATGTAATACATGGATATCAAGCAGAGAAAACTGTGTATCTTGTCCTACAGGCTGATTTAAAATCTGACTTACAGTTACCCCCCCCCCGAGTTTACATGGAGTGTGTACATGTTCTGGCCTACAAAATGAGAAACTGAAAACAGAAAAGGCCAATCGGAATGAAACAATTTCGAAGCATCCTGCAGAGAGAAAAACAGATTTCCAAATATGGTCTTGGAAGTGACAATTTATTGAAATCTTGACATGGAATGTTTCAAGCTGTGTGAGTGTATCTGATGAAGAAGTCCATCTGGAAAAGCTCAAAAGGTTTTTCTGCTTTATTTTTTCCCAAGTAAATCCATGAGTTTCTCATGGCAAATCTGCAACTTTTTCATGACAATGTAATGTTTCCCATATGGGAGACTGCTCAGAGAAGTGAGCTCACAAGGCATGAAGCACATCAGCCATGCCGTCAACTGGGAAAAATTCTGCAGCTTTTGAGGGAACAAAACGTAGTTTGTGACATGACACTGTGATTGTTGGAGAATAAAGTACCACTGCACAAGCACTTTAAACTATGATGCTATCAAACTAGGAATTCCCAAGAAATCGATAAATTTTTTAACGGTAAAAAAATACTAAGGCAAAGCATGATACCTTAAAGAAAACACCCCTCCAAACACACTCACACTTTTCAGAATCCCCAGAATCTTCATATTAACTAGTATGCAGAGGAACAGCGTGCAATTAAAACATTCAAATAATTAAAAACATCTGAATAACTGTGTAATTGTGTCAAATTTTCAACCTATTCCTGGAATACAACAGTGACACACACATTGTACTTCCAAATCACTACGTGTACTGCCATTTTCAATTATACATATGTACATTCTGGGCACTTTATACACTTTATAAAGGTTTGGTAAATATTAACTGAATGTTGATCTGAATAACATTTCCAGCAATAGTTCAAGCTCAATTGTTAAAATACGTTAATTAAAAGCAATGTCTTTGCGTAATTATGCTTTATTACCAAAAATCCAGTCATTTTTTAAGTTTACATGGTACTGTTCGATGTTCTTCTAGAAACAATTTTGAGGACACACCACACTTACTAAAACTGACAAGCCATTTTATCTTCAAATGCATGTACATATACAACGATAAAAATGCTAGATATACAGAGTGGCAATCCCCCTAGAAGTAAATGACAAGCTTTTTAAAATATAGCAAATAATTTACAGCTGCAATTCTTGATTCGGCATTGACATAAATTCACTTTAAAAACAATTATTTAATACAATCTGCTCTGAAGATAATCATTCCGACACTTTGGTTCAAATGTAGTTACAGGGCCTACCTACAGCTTCTCTTTTTTTACAGGGCAGCAATTATACAAACAAGTGTCTACATGTTAACTGACGAGCTCGATTCGAATACTTCTTGCCAAAAAATACTACATGTATTGGGCTCATGTGAGGGTGTCCTCCATTTATTCTGTGGTTCTCTCTCTTTTTTTTTTAATTTAAGGGAGGGTTTGTCGGTCAAGGGAAAAAGGAGTTAGGAAACTGCTAGTTCCCAGGACGTCTTACCGGTAACTTCATCACTTCTTTCTTTGTAAGACATTCCAGACAGGGTCAGCAGCATCAAAATCAACTATGGACACCCAAACCGAGTCGAGAATATGGGAGATATTTCAAAGCTCCCTGTTTGTTGTGTTGACCTAAAAATAATACTTTCTTGAGACAAACTGTTCATCATCTAATGTGTGATATTTTGAAAATTAAAACTTTCATGAGCAGTATACCGACAGATGCTTTCTAAATTATCACAAGCCTTTCCATCATCTTTCCAAGCATGTACAACTATTTGGAATGCCCTAACGGTTACCAACCAAAAGCACCGTGTGGTATTTAGATAATTAATACACACAGGCCAGGTAAGCATCGACCTTTTGATTCATAACGATGTCTGAACCACCTCAGAACTCGCAGATTTTGTCCTGGAGAGGTTTGCCTCCGATCTTGGCCCTGAGCGGTGCTGCAGCAAGTGCTGCTGCTGACTGATGGAGGGTTGCTGTTGTTGTTGCAACAGTTGATTCACATACTCCTGGTGCTCCCGACGCAGCTGCTCCAGTCGGTACTGCTGCTTTTCCTCTGCAGCTACAGGAACTTGTTGTGTGCGTTTGGATTCCGTCAAACGGTGCGGCTGATTGTACTCCTGTCCTTGTCGTTGATACTGCTGCTCGGGGAGTTGCTGCTTCTGTCGCTGCCGCTGCTGTTGCTGCAGCTGAACTTGTTGTTTCTGCAGCTGGGTGCGGTACTGCTGTTCTTGAAACTTCTGTTCGTAATTTTGCTGCTGTGAATACTTCTGCTGCTGTTGACCCATTTGTCTGGCGGACTGACCTCCGTTTGGATATTGACCGTTGTGGCCGTCGTACTGATCAAATGAGGGAGTTGGTTTGTTGGGAGTTGGGAGTTGCAGGTCCCCTTGATTGGTGCCTGGCTGAGCTTGTCCAGGCATCTCCACTGATGAAGACTGGCTAGTCACACTGACGTTATCTTCACTGAAGCGCACGTTGTTGGCACTGCGTGATTTCCTCACGGTTGGGCCCTGACTGCTGGAGAAAGAGTCCCCTTTCTTCAGGATGGACGGTGACAGGGGCTGTCCACCAACTGCGCCATGTCTTGGTACGACTGAACTGGCACAAGCTGGATCTGTTACTGTGATAGCAGGGACAGTTCTACTAGTGGACTTCGTGGTCAGTTCGGGTCCTCCCTGGGGTTTCGCCGAGGGCTCTGGTGCAGCTGTGACAAGGGGTTCATGCATCTCAGGAGGTTCTTCTACCAGCTTGACGCCATCCCTGGCAGCTTGGGCAAAGATGGAGTAGACCTCCGTCTGGAGCATGGGATCCTCTATGGAGGCCACTGAAGCTCGAGAGAAGCCAGCCTTCTCTTCTGACGGAGTTTGGTTGGCAGAGAGGGCATAGTCTAGCTTGGACTTCTCTGGGTACTGAGATGTTTCTTTGGTATATACGTCAGTGGCTTGGGAGCCATCGAAGTAGTTATCGTCGCCTTTGCCATCATCTGAGGGATTCTTCAGCAAACCCTTCCTCGGAGCTGGCACTGGAGGCTTTCTGATCCGGTTCGGCTCGGTGTACGTGACATCTTGGACAGGCATCACAATTGCAGTTGAAATGGTCGTGGGAGGATTCGAGTAGTTACCTGGGTTGTTGAGACTCGTAACACCTCCTGACCTGGTGAGGGTTGAGTTCGGAGATGGGGTTGGGTTGACCTTCTGGACTGCCGGGGTGGGATGGCGGGTGGCTGAGAGGTTGGATGTGCTCCTCGAGGGCTGATTGAAGATCCCCGGTGCCGGTCTCTCGAGGCTCTTATTGCCGTAGAAGTCTGTTACACGTTCTCCCGGGTGCACGCTTCTCGGGAGGGTGGTGGCCTTGCCTGATGACTGGTCACTTGCACCAGAAGACCCCCACTTTGGGAGCACCGCCTTGAAGATGTTTGGATTAAATTTCTGCTTCCGTCCCTCAGTAGATGTTTCATATTCTTCCCCTGGCTCAGAATCATACTTTGCTGCTGGTTTGGAGACAATGGCAAATGTGTTTGATGCTGGAGAGGTGATGGTAGGGACCGTTTTCGATGGAACGGAGAGGGAAGCATAAATGGTCTGCTCAGGCATTGTTTTGACAGCTCCTGGACCCGTTGGCTGTGTGGCAGGTGCATTTCCCCCAGAGATGAAGAAGTGCTTGCTAACCACCTGCTGCCTGTCAAGGGAGGACATTGATTTCTGAGCAGGGGCCACTCCGCTGGATTGTTTGTGCTGCCCTTCTTTGAGTGCAGACTGAGACGCTGACGAGCCCAGCGTCGGTTTGGAGTTACTCTTGGAGAACCTGACAGAGGACGTGGATGCTGTGCTGGCCCTGGCCTGGGTTCCGCGGAAGAACGAGGACGAGCCACCTTTGGAGGTCCTCAGGGCTGCCCCGAGGCTGGCCACTTTGCCCTTTGTCGCTGACGGCATGGCGACCGCAGTGGTTGCCGGGGGCGCGCTGCCAAAATCGGGCAAGTCGTTGCCGGGGTGTGAGCCGAAGAGCTGGGAGACCTTGTTCAGGGGTTCTCTGCGGGTTCCCGACGTGACGTAGGGAGAAACCCTTCCTGCTGCCGGTGTTTCGAGAGATGGGGTGCCCGAGAAGGAGAAGGCAGTGGCAAAGGTGTCTGATCCAGGTGTAGAAATCATGGACTTATAGGCAGCTTGGCTGGAGGAATCAGTTTCATCACTTGCCTGCAGAAAAGTCAAGTGAATATGAATTGGCTGATTAAAAAATAGCCAACACAAAGAAATCTCTTTACTTCTTACAAAATACTGAATACTGCAATCAGATGAATGCCGCGTCAAGTTCTTCTACAAAGGTACATTAATTAAACTTTAATACCTCTGCAAGGGGGCATTTTGAGGGATTTGCATGGAATTGGGAAAGTAGAGCCAAACAACTGTCACTTTGGATTGGGGTTTTTACCCATCTTCAATAAAGTGCAAAGAAAGTGCAGCTAACTTTTTAGGGGTCATCCAGAGTTGTAAATATTTTCATGTGCAGCAGTATCCAGAATACTATTTTTCAAGGGCCCCTTTATCAACGATTTTCTATAACAGTATCCTGAAATATAGATAAAATCCCATAGGGACTACATTGTTGGAAAGTGCCCATCATCTGGCATACAGATATGCATTTTTGAAAACTTTCATGTTTTAAATAGAAAAAGGTTCAATATAAAAACACACATTATTGATAAGGAAACATTTTCTCGTCAGTGATGATCTCGTGCACGTCCCCGGTACCACAACAAATTTATGTGGGTAAAAATGGATACCGCGTTGGGAACGATGCACCACAATACCAAAGGTTAGTTTGAACATGTACTGTCCTGCTGGTGCATTGCACTGTGTGATCGCACTCACAGTCTGGGCTTCTCGTACATTGTACATGTACACATGTACACAGCTAGCAACGATACATTTGACAGACATCGGCAATCGTCAGATCCGTCACAGTCATATTTCATGCATTGTTCTGACATATTTAAAACAGCCACTGGTGACAATTTCGAGATTTCATGGACCTACCTGCAGCAGGCTCCTGAATTCACGTATCAACTGCTGTTTGCTGCTGCCACCAATGTTGCTTTCACTGATGTTCATGACTTCGTTAAGTCTTTTACGCAGCTCATCCAACTGGTTTCTGAGTGAGCTGTTAACATCGAGACAACGCCGAAGGCCTTCTCTGTCATATTGAAAAAATAAACGGAGACTCTATAGTTAACCCTGACCCCCAAGGGTGTATGTAAAATCGTATTGAAATCAGAGAATTTGGGACTGCTAGGGTTAATGATCAAACTGGCTAGATTTGTCACCTATCTTTAAGAGACATATTACATTGAAGTTTAAAGACCATAATGATTTTTCAACAATGCAAACATGCGACTGGGAATTGGAGGGCAAAGAAAGTTGAATACGCACAAGAATTGTTTGCACAGTGTTTTTCGACTTGTGATGGTGGACAAAAAAAAAATGTGTAAAAGAAATATTACGAATTAGAGATCAGGTTATCAAAGAAAAAGTTCTGCACATTAATGAAGGAAAGATGTGTGATTTTGTAAGCTTGATTTGTTGATACAGTTTAAAAACTGGATAGATATATAGAAAACACTTTTCAAATTTTCAGAAATTCAATAGCAATTTTGCCGATTTGTTAGCACCATGGCAGTGCATTCGAATAATTCCAGATTTCAACATTTTGACTAGTAAAAGCTTACAGTGAATCCTATCATGGATCTATTTATATCCTTGATCTACACAGTGCCCTGTAATTTTCAGAAAAACACTGCCTTCCTACACAAACCTTGTTTGGTAGAGTCGGAATCTCTCAAACTCCAGGACTGGGTAATCCTGTAAGACGCCGGGAATGTCTTGAACATTAAAGAACTCGATGCGAAACAAGAGTGATGGTTCCTCTGTTGTGCAGTAGTCACCATCCAAAGCCTTGGCCTGTCAGATACATGCCAACAATACAGTCATTATCACACTTGTGTGAACTCCAAGATTGCTGTAATCTTCCGCTAACAATAAATACCAATTATATATCTGGATGTAAAAATGACATTTAATTTGGGCTTTTCGAGGTCAACTTTTGGGGAGTTCAACTTATCAACTTAGTCAAATAGTTTGAGGTTTGCAAATGTAAGGGGAGGGGTTCCCTGACGTTCTCCAAAGAAAGGGGAGACAAGTGGAAGTGAACCCGACCACATGAGCAGTGCTTTGAGCTTCTTTTTTAAAAGGTAACCACTTATAATGGTGCACCTTCCCACAATATTCATCCACCACCGGACCAACTGCACTTTGGGCCTCTTGCTCAATCTAAACAATGTACGTCATTCAAGCAAAACGAAGCTATCAATGGCTCAAACCTGTGACCCAAACCTTTTTTCCTTGTTAAAAGCTGAAAAATAAAAATATGCGTCGGCCCTAGATGACTATAAAATTGGCAACTGGATCAATAGGCTACACTTCCAAGGAAATGAGGGCCCTTTAACAATGCCGCCAAAAGGGAATCAGCATAGTGATGCAAGTTTACATATTAACAATTTTAGAAAACAAATTGACATTTCCATTATCTACAGCCCCAAAAAATGCATCCCTACAGTCTCAAAAAAAGAAGATATTTTCCTCACTAATGTCCAGGAAGGCATTAGTGAGGAAAATAAACAAAATCTTGCTGGCATTTCTTGTCGAGGATAAAAACTATTATTGCCCTCGGGACAGGATTGTGAAGTACATGTACAATTGTGTTTACACTCTGTGTCTATCGACCTTCAAAAAATACCGACAAATTCATCATAATAAAGAAAATACGAAGAACTGTACTGAGGATTTCAATCAGTAGAAAGTGCTGGCACCTCTTCCCCATATGCAAAATGCAACATTAAAGTTTAAATAGCATTCTCAATGGAAGCAGTTCTGTCAATCAATCTGTGTTTGCCAGTTTGGACAGTCTGAAACAGCCATGGTGTGACAAATGTTTCAAAACTACAAATTACACTCAGGTGTTTCATTTCATAGATGGTGAAGTATCCCAGAGGGGCAGGTGACCCAAATTTCTCAGACAGGATTTTCTGTTAGGAATTGGAATTTAAGTATTATATTTGTGGGCTTTGTCATCATGCTAGAAAATAAAAAATGCTACTTCAGTTGGAGTGATTAAGCTCAACCCCAAGAAAAGTGCCCAGTAAACATTCACTCTTTAAGTTAAAGAAAAATTACGGTCATTTCAATTCGGCCAAACCAACTTGAAATTACACTGATTGTTGACGCCATAGCTAAAGGAGGACAACAGCGTTTATGTAATCTCTGTTAAAACCCAAAGCATGACAAAATTGACAAATTCCTGTACAGCAGATGTATGCAAGTTGAGATTTGGGAATTGGAGTAAACAGCAACTTTAAACTCTCCATTTCAGCATGGTGGCTTTGGAATCAGTCCAAGTCATGTTCCACTGAAGATTAATATTTACGACCAAAGATAACAGCAGTTGAAATGAAAACCTACACAAGGAGACTATCATGGGATGCCCGGCATTGCTGGTCAAGGGCTTTTCCCGCATCCCTAGGGTCTGACAATGACACAGCGTCAGCGCAGTGTAGTGCCTGCACTGCATGAGGCATGATCCGCAAAACGGAAAGGAATTCACTTTTGGCTGGCAAATAGGACCTCTGGTAAACCTAAGCAAGAGCCTGCGGCTGTTTGCATCCAGCTGGGCTGCAATTAAGGAGATTTGGAGAGTCCTAGTTTGTGGCTGTTGTCTGCGGGAGCCTAGCATGCCAGATGGTGCAGACAGGCACTGAACTGTAATGTCATGTTTGTCAACACTGGACTTACAAATGCTGAAAATTCTTGGTGGACTGCAAGGCAATCATGTGCACTATGGAAGCAATAAGGTTGCATTTACGCAGCAAGCAAATGTCATTCACCCTGTTATTAAAGGAAAATACTTTCAATGAAAGTGCCTTCAAGAAAAATGCAAGGTACACATACGACAAGAGGGAAGATTGTTTGACAATCTTCCCATTCAAGCATGCCTCTTGGATGGGTATCTAACTTGTTTACATGCAGACAAAACAAATTTGAACATTTTGCCACATCTGCTTTCTTTTTGTGGTATGGTTTCAACTGAAGAAAGTAAGTTTTTCAGTAAAAGTTTCTGAGAAGCTTCAATCTCAATTTTACAGAGATTCCTATGAATGCGTCCAATTCAAACATGAACACATACAACCAGCAAAAGATAAAAACAAAAAGCAAAATTTTCAGTTGAGTGGAATTTTACAAAAGTCATTTGAGGAACCGATCTTCGGAACCCACAGTTTGAGCAAATAATTATTTTAGACGTAGTAAAACACCTTTAACTGCTGCCCCCCCTTCCCTGCCTACTTGTAGACAATTCTGCACTTACCCTCTGGATGGGTACTTTTGTAGCCATACTGAACAACTTTTCAGGGAATGCTGGGGAGAAGTATGCAGATATGGGGACCTCGGAGATGGACACGTTGTAACTCCGGTCAGTGCGGGAAAGAAGGTACGCCTTCCACTGGAGGTATTTGGTGCAAAGGGCATCTCGTCCGGTGCCCCGACTCCCAACGGGAAATATCTTGTTCCTGTCCTCCGTGTCAAGGCGAAGCGACAAGTACTTGGAGGAATTGTTAGCGGAGAGCTTCCAGACATTCATCCGGTGATCTGGGAAGATAACGTCGTCAAAGACGAAGTTGTCCGTGTGGTAGTAACCCCTGGTCGCCAGGGGGACCTCTACGAATGCAAAGGGGATGATGGAGAGAATTTCCACCCCAAGAGGAACGAGTCCCTTCCTGAACATGTCCATATTGGCCAGGGGCTCAAAAGCTTTGAATCGGCCATACCCGCGATCGCTCCGGAAGGAGAACTCGAATGTCTTAGAGTCACCCGTCGGGGAGACCAGGTCACCCAGGAAGAAGCGATAGCGGATGCGGCAGCAGAGACACTCGGGGATGTGCGGGTTGTTGAAGCGGTGGAGGTACATCGAGACGTGACGCTCCGCTTCCTCACGGTCCCCAAGCGGGTAAAACGACATGTAGAAGTCAAAACCACACAGGGAAAAGTTGGGGGTGAAGTAGGATGAGAAGGGCTGGTTCATGTGCTCGGGGAGCTGGGAGAAATCCACCAGTTGCTGGTAGATTGTCCGACAGTACCGCACCGCCAGCTCAACGATGACCGTTCGACCTGGATCGACCAGGAAGCCATTGCCAGGAGCCAGCACTTCGTGCAGAGGAGCCAGCTCGCGCTTGCCCCATCCCAAGGTGTCCGGAGCACTGAACTCGACCTGGGAGCCCTCTGAGACCACACTCTCAGAAGCGTCCCTGACATTTCGGACAATAAGGCGGTAGTCCGCACGGCAGCTAACCCCTTCACCCGCAGCCTTGTTGTCCCAGTACAGGTACATGCCCAGGTAAATGTCATCCGACTCCTTCGACTGGTAGCCACCACACGTCAGGTACCACTCATGACCTTCATAGTATATGGGTGACGACTTGGTCGGTTTGTCGAAGAAACTCTCCAAATCATTCATGGAGAGGAGGAACGTGAAGAGTTGAGTTCCTCCCGCATCATTCAGGGGCAAAGCTCGGGTCAATCTAAGAGCATTACTCATGTTTGACACCAAGTTTTTCTGTAAACCTCAATAGAGAAAATTTTCACAAGTAATGTAGTCCACTGGATAAGCAGTCTGCCAGGATCACATCACATATTGAATTACCTAATACCAATTTTGGTCGATTCTCTCCAATTCAGCAAAGACCAAGTCTTGCACTCTCACAAACACCAACCTTAAAAAGTGAAAGCAAAAGATTGGTATGAAGATGGCTTCCTGAAATTCTGAAAACAACAGGTGACAGGGCCCAGAACCTCTATGAGAAACCTGTTTGTGAAACTGACCTGAGGATTCAGTTGCAAAGGCCCAATCCTGGAGTCTCAAGAACAGACATAAATTCAGAATCCAACCCCATTTGCCCCTAGAGTCCCTTTGCTGTAAGCTGTCAATGCCAGAACAGACACGTGCCCCACAATGACATAAACGACAGGTGTAATGCTGGGCACATAATTAATACCACCAGGCGTATATCTGCCTGTGCTCTCGCACACCATCCATCATCACAATAGAGGATGGATTTTTCGATGTTTCGTCAGTTCGTGATCGTATCATTATCAACAAAACAAATCATATTATTTGGTAATGTGGACAACTTACGTTACGTGACTCACGAAACCCCGATCCCTGCGTTTCCAGCTACTGGGCGTGCCGGCGCGCGGAAATGAAACTTGCTTTTCGTCATCCGACCCCGTCATCAACAACACATCGCTTCTATAAATCCGTCACAACAGCCGACCCACCGTGAGCGAAATGTGACCAAATCCACTAGGATATACAGAGGAAGAACTTCCAGTTTTTGGACTGGTGACGCGGTCATGAGCTGGCTTGGGTTCAATTTTGTCCAATCGCAATAGATGTGGGTTAATCGGGCTCCGGGCAAAGTCCAAATTCTGAATAAATTTTGATGATGTGTTGAAGCGTACGCGGCGATGCACCTGTGCCTGTGCGATGTCGTTTTGCTGACTACATTACGCAGCCGCCTGTATGCAGTGTGTACGTAGGTTGGGTGCCACGCCACGCTGTACCAACGGCCATCAATTCAACGAATCTTCGATTTCAATGCATCACATCATCACCATAACAAAAGATGAACAGAGGCAGGAGGCGGACTCAAAAGAGACACGTCGCTAAAAATAACAATTCCTTTTTAGAGAGGGGGAGGAACTCGAGCTTTGTGAAAAATGTTTGGCTTATTAGTTTCGCAGCGTGAGAAAAACAGCATACATCACGAACTTGTGACCATGTATAGGCCCTATACCAAGTTACCCTGATCATTTTCCACGTTTATGACCAACCCGCATAACTAGTCCTCCAATTCATTATTGGATCTTTGACAGGATACAGATCCTGTTAGTCCTCCGTTATATGAAGAGTTTATTTCAAACAAACGCGATTAAGTGCCGTTTTTGGTACCTTTCAGAATCCCACTCCTTCCTGTACGTTGCTAAAAAAGTGTCAACGAATTTTGTGCTAGTTAAGCACGGCTAATACTTTCGTGAGAAGTGAAGTAGGGACGCCTGGAACACTCCCCTTGCTTTGTTCTTCGGTGCTTGATAATGACTGAAAAAATACACGTTTTTCGAATAGATCGCGTTTAGGAAATAAACCCTTCGTTTCTTGATCTGCATTTGGGACCAGCCGTTAACGGTCGGATCCAGATCAGTCGATTTGCAGTTTGCCGCCGTGACTGGAAAGGTTGGACTTAAATTGATCCCCGTCGAGAAAATTTCATGCATAACAATTATTTTAAGAAAAAAATTAATTCGTTTCGAATATTATGGCATGTAATTTAAAGACAACAAAGCCATACACGGGAATTTTCAAGGCCGTAGAACGACGCTCAATAAGTCCTCCGAACGGAGTAGCTCGGTAACCTTGGTCACCTTTTGACAAGATTGGCCCGGGACAAAGAAAAAGCTTGCGAGGTGGCAATGCCAGAAACCTAAGTCGATCTGAATCGGGGTGAACAAAAAAATACTTTCGCTTTTTTGCGACTCAAAGCACCCCGCAAAACATTACATTGGCAGTGTGGGACTTTAGCCTCTAAGTAAAAATTGTGTAAGCCTAACAACCAAAACGTGTCCTCTCTTGCATTTTCCGTGAAGCCAACAACAATTCTTTTTTATTTTATTTTATTTTATTTTATTTTGTATTTATTTATTGGGGGGCGTGTGAGGTTTTTGGAAATGCGCCCAACCTCTGAAATTACACCAAACCATTTTTGTTTTCTGCCAAGAATTAGTTTCCCTGAGCGAGTTACACAATTATTCTTTAACCACCACTGCATGCATCACGATGGTCATAAACTAGTCAGTGCCGTGATTCAAAGGCACCCATGACAGAAAGCATTCGTTCTGGGCATAAATCAACAAAACCCATGGAAACATCGCTTTCTACAGACTAATGCTCCAGAAACATGTACATGTATGTTGTAAACAATTTTTACGGCTCCCGAGGGAGTTCAAAACCTATGTCCCTTCAAGCACGCTCGACGGCAAAGCGTCGCAAAATCTTGGCATAGAATCCAGAACTTTGACTAGCACGAGTGAGTTAATCGACAGGGTTTCTCTTGTTTCGGGCCTCCTTTCTCCTCTGTAAAATGCCAAAGAGTATTCAAAAAGCTCTTTATGTGAAAGATTATGGAAGCGTATATAGAGCCCACTTGCCAAATAAATCGAGTCAATCCTCGACAAGGCGAGATCATCTCGCCACGGTCGGAGATATAACTCGAATTTTTTTCAAATTTTCCATGTGTAACCTTCACCTGTCCGAAAGTAATTCAATCCTGTGAACCCAACCATACATAATATACCGTCCAGCATAGCTTGACCTATGTGAGGTTAAGGTCAACCTCCAGGGTCAGCGTCGAAGTTTATTATCATGAGGAAACACACAATTCTGTTGATGTAAAAAAAACACCGCCAATGCTGGGTTCCCACAGCGTCTTCGTTTTCACATAATAATAATGAAAAGGGGGCGATTTTGGCCGGGTGTCTATTTCACTTCCTTTCCTTCAGAGAAAGTGCAAAAAGATGGCTCCAAAATGTAGCTTCATCCCTCAGAGAGCCAATAAAAGGTTAACTTCAAATCCCCCTCCTAAAAACAAACCAAACAAAAACAAATCCTCCCAAAACGTTTGGTTCTAAATCCTCCCATGAACACCGCCATATTCCATCGTCGAGACTGTAGTCTCACAACTTGAAAATAACCCCCTTAAATCATAATTATTTTCAAGGGCTGTCCAAAGTGGTGGGACCATAAGCGCAATACCAGCCGTGGGTGTGTATATAATCCTCACCCACTAATTAACCAGGCAATTGACCTATTTGACACCCCCCCCCCTTTGGCGAGCCAACAATTTCAAGGTTGTTCGGAATTTTGAAATATTTTAAAAGGAGAACAAAGCGTACAAATGATGTCTTTTCTTTTTTATTTTAGTGGAGAAAAGTTTACGTCCGGCTCTTTCCATAGCGCCCTCTGTCGATTGCCCCAAACAGTACGGCAGGGGGTGGTATAAAGCTGCTCGTTTGCCCCAAAGAGTTCCCGGTGCAAATTGAATAGCAACTCACAGCGGACATGCCGAGTGAGCACCTGGGGTGGTGGGCAATAAGCATAAGACAAAAGTGAGGAAAGTGCGCATTTTATCCCACACCTATCGCAAATTAAGGGAGTAACATACACCAGTGATGGTGAATATGGCTGATTGGTGCTCAAGACTACATTTCGTTTGTACTCGCTGCCGTTGCCCTACTCCACTCCCACACACACTTTTGAGATGAGCAAAAGAAAGAAATTGGACTGTAAAGAATCTTTAGGATTTCCTATAGCGACTAAAATGTTTGCAATATCTAATGTTTGCAAAATGGGTAAACATTTTTAAGCTATAAATATGCTATTCTGCATGAATCAGATACGCATTACAGATGTACATCTTTATCATGAACGTCCCCCTCTATATAATGTATCTGATGAAGCCCCCCGCCCAGTTTTCAAGTTTCCATAGCCCCCCTCCCACCTTTCCCCACCCCCAATTTCCAGCACAAATTTACGCCATTGCAAGGTGTTTGCGTTACGTTAAAAAAAAAAAAGAATTAGCCTAACAATGTTTCATGTTTTTTTTCTCTATTTTACAAGTCGCTTCACATATAGACGTTGGGCCAACCAGATCAGATAAATGTAAGTAGGATTTCTACTTACCTTCTTCTAAATCCTCAGGGATTTCTTCACGACACAGTACATCGGTCTTTGTGTCTCGATAGTTCTAGAGGGAATTGTACCGATAGCCTGCTTTTGTACTCTTTTAGATATTTTGACGGGAAATGTCTCTTTTGTTAGCGTAGACTACAGTCATCCTGTAATATGCATGTTATAATTTATAAGGACCTTAATTTTAAATGCCAAAAGCTGCCTTGGTACTTGCTAGATGTCCTATACAATACTCCATCGGCGCTTGGAAGTCTAACTGAAAAGGCCGTAGAAAGTGCTTGCTGGTTGTCTGGTATACGATGAAGTTTGCAAAGCATTTATTTATGATTCTTTGAAACTATTTGCAAACTATATGATGTTATAGCTCCGAACTTAAACCCGCCAAATTTGTGGACGCCATCGTGGGTAATATTAACCAATCGAACTAAGCTCATGAAAAATTCATGTCGCTATGTACTTGGGCCATTGTTCATCGACAACAGACACACGTGTTCCGACTGTGAACTAACTTATCGATATTGGCTCCGTTCTCTCAATGGGCGGGACAGGCGGAAGGGTATCTGACACGGATTAAGATGGAGGGAGGGATTAGCCATATGGCGAGGGGTTGAAGAATTAGATCAATAATCGATTACACGCCTCGAGTGTTTCAGACGATTACTGGGAAGAATTAACGGGGATTTGTGTACAGCTCATCTGATGATTTTCACACCTCCTTACAATAATAACTTGTTACAAGCTGTGCTCTTGCTCCAGGCACGCGTTCACAAAAAAACAAACAAAAATATCGTGGTAATTACGCTATTGAAGAGGACTACATGCAAAACAAAGCCGACGACATTAAATTCTTTGCTTCGTCTATATATGTCAGATTCGATATTAATTCATTGTTGATTTAAACCACAGTTGCAACATCAGGATGTTCAGTGCTCCCTGGCAATCCTCACAAAACGCAGCACAAGTCCTGAATAATTTCATTTGACTCGGGTGTTGTTTTTGGAACAATAGGTATCACCGGTTTTTACATAATTATGCTACTGTCATTAACACGATGAGTGTTTACTCCACTGATTTTTGTCCTTTTCTTATTCAACCATTTGGTGCAAATTTACTACTTCATGGATGATTTGTTTTTGTAAGACGCGTGAAGTCTGTATTATTTGAATCAGCTCGTGTTATCGAATAGGTTCATTATGCGCCAACTCGTCCCAGAAAATGGCAAAGTAGTAGCGTCGACAACTTGGCAAACGTGGGGGAACATCCCAGAATAATTTATGATACGAGTTATCATAATCAAAGTTGCCCCTATCAACATTTCCGTGTGTGATCAATCGCAGGGTAGGGGCACTAATTCCAAAAATTCCACGCAGTTGAGACT